TTAGCAGGTGGTGAGGAATCTGATGAGGAAGACAAAGGAGGCACTGGAGAGGAACTCCCCCTGTCTATAAGAGTTGGGAGAGTGGTGTCCTCATGTGAGTCATCATCAGAAGCAAACGTCGTAGGGGCGATCAAAGGTGGAGGAGGCAACGGTTGCTGATGAGAGTCGGAATGAGGAAAAATGTCTTCATTAAAGATGACATCGCGAGAGACAAAAAAATCGTGAGTCTCAATATCATATACACGCCAACCTTTTTGATTATGAGGATAGCCCAAGAAAATACACTTCCTTCCTTTCTCTTGAAATTTATCATGTCTAGAGGAGTGTCGTTGAGCAAAACATAAGCAACCAAAAACACGAATATGATCATACGTCGGAGGAGTAGAATGAAGAACCTCATACGGAGTTTTGCCTTGGAGTAATGGAGTAGGAGTACGGTTGATTAAGTACGCAGCGGTGAGTACACTTTCTCCCCAAAATTTAATTGGTAAAGCAGATTGGAAGAGGAGAGAACGCGCCATGTTAAGAATATGACGATGTTTGCGCTCAACTCTGCCATTTTGCTGAGGAGTGTAGACACAAGAGGTTTGGTGGTGAATGCCGTGATCCTTGAAGAATGAACGAAGAACAAGAAACTCACTTCCATTGTCACTACGAACAATTTTAACCTTTTTACCAAATTGTTGAAGAGCCATCGCCACAAACTGTTTAAGGTGAATAGCGACCTCACTTTTGGCGAGAAGAAGATAGGTCCACACAGCCCGAGAGTGATCATCCACAATAGTAAGAAAATAGTGTGCTCCGCATGTAGAAGCCATTTTATAAGGACCCCAAACATCACAATGGATCAAAGAAAAACATGCGTCCGCTTTATTAGAGCTATCGGGAAAAACCGATCTTGTTTGTTTAGCTTGAATACAAACTTCGCAAAAACCAACACTATCATTATTATGATGATCAAAATCCTTTAAAGTAGATAAAAAACTAGATAGAATCTTCGCAGATGGATGCCCCAAACGCTTATGCCAAAGAGTAGGTGAAGACTTTCGAACACTATGAGCACTAGCCGAGGAAACTGCTCCACGAAAATGATAAACCCCGTCTCTCTCTTCACCGGCGCCAATCAGCATCTTCGAAGTGCGGTCCTGTATAACACAAAGTTTATCAGTGAACATAGCATAACAAGACATTTCTCGTAAAAGTCGTGCCAAAGAGATGAGAGTGCAAGAGAGATCGGGAACATAAAGAACACGGTTAAGTTGAACATGATCTCCAAGAATCATTGTTCCCTCTTTAGTAGCAAAGGTGTGCTTCCCGTTGGGTAGAACAATAATACTTCGAGGAATATCATGAATGTCCACGAGAAGATCATCATCTCCGGTCATATGATGGGACGCGCCAGAATCAAGTAAAAACTCAACACAAGAAGGCTTACCAGAGAGTTTGTCATGGCCAGTAGCTTGATCCGATTTTAACAAGTTCATAATTGCAGACAACGTCTCTTTACTCACACCTGGTAGTTCTGAAACCTCATCACCATGAACAGCTTGAGCTTGAGCGTTGTTAGCACGGTAAGAAGAAGAAGGAGAAGAGCGACCACGGCCTCGTCCCCTAGAGGAACCACGACCTCTACCCCGAGTAGAATCGTTACGTGAACTACCTCTGGAATCACCATGCTTCTCGATCCACCAATCTGGTAACCCATGAAGCTCAAAACATGTATCCACCGAGTGATTAGTTCGCCCACAATGAGTACATGGTCCTTGATTAAGACGTGTAACAGATGCAATAGCATTAACACCAGATTTTACGGCACAACCGATAGCATCAATACGTTCTTCTTTGGATCGAGCAACGATAAGATGTCGTTCTTCAGCAATAACCTCAGAGTAGATTTGATCAAGAGTCAGATCAGTATCACGGTTGAGACGACTAAGAATATTCGTACGTGTAGTACCAAAACGAGAAGCATCTAGACCCATGAGAAACTGATGGATACGTTCACGATCGCGACGTGATTGTTGCTTAAGACGTTGTGGACAAGTCGGAGAGCTGCAACAACAATCAATAAAGGGCTCAAAATCATCAAGATCATCCCACATAACCTTGAGCTTACCGAAGTAATCCGCAATAGTTTGTCCGTCTTGAGCACAACCAACAATAGAAGACTTGATTTGATGAACACGAGAGGCGTTCCCGATAGAATAACGAACTCGCAAGTTATCCCATAAAACTTTTGCATTGTCAACAAACGAGATCGCCTTCTGGATGTTAGGATCTAAACTCGCATAAAGCCACCCACACAACATCGAGTTTACTTGTATCCATCGTTGATAGTCTGGAGAATCACTAGGAGGTTTGAGAAGGGAGCCATCGACAAGTCCAAGTTTATGCTTGGCTGCGAGATTGTTACGAGCAATTTTAGCCCACTTCTCATAATTTTCACCATTGAGAAGAAAAGGAGTAAGAACATGATGCGGCTGATCATTAGAAGAGAGATAGTAGGGAGAAGACGTGATCGACTCCTTAGTAGAAACACTGGATTCTATGGCTCCAGTCATAGTTTAGAAAGTAAGCAGAGTTGTAGAATAGAAAAAAAAGGTAGAAAAAATATTTGTGTTCTGCGTAAAGAAGAGAGGCACGAGAGTAGGAAAAATTAGGTTTTTTTTTTTTAGAGATTTTTAGGGTTTTGCTCTGATACCATGTAAATCTCAGAGAATGTGTTGTGTTTATTATTGATAGGTACAAAGTATATATAGTTACATTAGACTTGATACACAAGTATAGAATATTCACTAACTAAACAATAGGAAAACATCCTTTCCGTAACATTTAAATCATTCTGCTTTTCGCATTGTAGTTTAGTTTCCAGAATTTTAAAAAGGTTTTAAGTGATTGTTTTTCAAAAGCTAACATTATTGTTCCAAAAAGGATATTGCATTAAACAAACCTTCTTTTGTGCTTTCCTGGCCTTAAGCAAGGTTCGCTTTTAAAAATTAAATCCAGAAATAAATAAATATATATATATATATATTTTTTTTTTTTTGAAATAAATATTTTGGTGCAAAAGAAATCTAAGGGGGACAGTGCTTGTCCGGTTTCACTTCTTGTCTTCTTGGTGACTTCGGAAGAAGATTCCTTATCTCATTTTTTTGCGTATTTTCTATAATTATACAAAGATGGTGCTGAGAGGTTGGCCGCTAGAGACACCTTTAATTAAGTCTTAATATTTTTGTTAGGTCATAAAACCAGTTTGTTTCTAAACATATATTATTAGGTCAATTAGTTACTATGTCGACGAGTTACTATAGTTGGCTTGTTGAATAGTGACTCGCCACTGATCAGCGACCATTCTATCATCCTGTTCGATCTTTGGTTCTAAAGTTTAACTTTCTCTGCAAATTATGTATAAATTATGGTATATGCATTTCATCATGTGGGAGAAATTAAAGTTATGAGAATCCTAATCAAGATGATGTATATGTGCGCGCACCTAGATATATGTACAAACATCAATTTAACGGAATAAAGAGACAAAAGGACTTTTTCATTCCGAATATATCATATAAGTTAAAATCTATCAGATTTAGCTTCCTTATTTAAACATCACACGCCAAACCTAAAATTAGAATATAAATCATTTTACACCACTCTACTGCATAACCTAAAAAGCTCTCTAATTATATTTGTTAATGCAGCAGCACAAGTCCCACTATCAACCCATGCTTTGTATTATAATATGTACAGTTTGTGTATACTAATATTTTATTTGTATAACTAGATGATACCAATACAATTAAATTTTCATTTATTTCATTGTAATTTACCTTATAGGTATTTTCACATGCATTTAGAAAAAAACAACATAATTTTCTAAACAAATTTTAACAAACAATTTTTTTTTATAAAAAAGTCTCTAAGTTTAAATTATTTTGAATCTTTGTGGTATTTAGACTGAAATAATATGTAACAAAGTTTATATAAAATGCTTAAATTAAGTTGTGGATACAAAGATGTAGTGTATTATTATATTACACGCATGGTTTACAGACAACTAAACCCACTAAATGAAGGTTAATTAAAAAGTATAATAAAGAGTTAGCTAACCTAATCCACCATGTCTGCGCGTGGAATCTCATGCGTACTTCAGACCAATTGTACGAAAGGAGTTCTGTTCCCTGTAAAGTACCAGCTGCAACATGAATCGCGTGTGAAGACACGCGCCACGTGGAGAGCTAAGAATCTTTCTGAGGGCATTTGGACCAAATAAATTAAAAAAACTCCGAAACACATAAGACAGACAGTGACAGATCCAAACATACAAAAAGTTTATCTCCAATCCCTTCAATTATCAACTTTAACTGTTTCTGTCCTCTTTCCTTTTTTTTTTTTTTTTTTTTTTTCCAATCACACTTCACTTTTAAGAAATTAGTAAATGTTATCCTTTGATGGTTTTTTGATATCCTTATTTAATAAATCACAGATCGCAGCCCCTTTAAATTTTACAGAAAGATTCGGGATTTTAATAGTTTTCGTCTTATCGAGGACTTAACACAAATCTTGTTTTAATAATACTACAACTACCACTATTGTATAAGATTTTGAGATTTCTTCTTTCTGTCGTGTCCAAGGTTCTCTGCCTTTGGTTATCTTCTAATCATATAAACTAGTACTTTTCTAAATGGGTTATTCAAATCATGTCGGCTCAACTATATGCGATCACTTCTTATATAGTATTGTTTTCGTAATAAAAATTGAAATATCCACAACACGCACGATCCATTATTGCTTTCTTTTGTTTACCTAAGAATAATTGCAAATTGGTCACATTTCGCATGGAACACACAGAACTGGCAATTTGGACGCCATGAACCGAACCGCCTATGACATTGACAGTTCATATGCTCTCTCTCTCTCTCTCTCACAAGTATATAAAACTGTTTCTCATTCTTACTTTTGTATCTTTTTTTAATAAAGAATCATCGATTTATTCCGTTTCCATAACCCCATTAACACATTATTCGAGAAAAATGGAATCAGCCAATCACTCTCATTTCCTCCATATATATCTACCTATCTATCTACAAATAGTTACTTTGTTCTTTTCCTCACCCTCAAGATCCACCTCGATCCTCTCTCCTCCGTCTCACAATCAGCTAAAAATGAGAGAAGATAATCCAAACTGGTTCCTCAGATGGGAAGAGGAGCTTCCTTCACCTGAAGAACTTATCCCTATTTCTCAAACCTTGATCACTCCTCATCTAGCTCTCGCTTTCCAAATCGGAAGCCCTAACCATCATCTCGGACCGAAGAGAGCCACCGTTGTCTACCACCACCAGAAGCTTCAACCACCCACCACTCCAACAACTCCAACTCCAACTCCTCCTCCTCCTCAACCAATGATGGTGATGAATTCTGACTTCGGCGGTGGCGATTCGACGGATCTTGGTTCAGGATCGATAGGAGGAGAGCCAGCAAGAACGTTAAAACGGCCGCGTTTAGTGTGGACGCCTCAGCTACACAAACGTTTCGTAGACGCTGTTGGACATTTAGGGATCAAGAACGCAGTTCCAAAGACGATAATGCAGCTAATGAGCGTCGAAGGGTTGACTAGAGAGAACGTCGCGAGTCATCTTCAGAAATATCGTCTCTACCTTAGGAGAATGCAAGGCGGGAACAGTAACGGCATCTCCGGTGGACATGTCATCGTCTCCGATTCAGCAACCGACCGTTTGTTCGCCAGCTCCCCGGTTCCGGCGCATTTCTTGACCTCTCATGAGTACTTGATGCCGCCATTAGAGCATCCGTATATGGGGAAGCATGTCATCACTCAGCAAAACCAAATGGTTCGTCATCTCAAGTATGAAGATTCCGAATATGGTAATGGAGATGGTGGTGGTAGGAAGATTCTTAAGCTCTTCCCTGCGGGAAATTAATGAAATATTCTTCACTTCATTTTTATGGAAGTAATAATGTTAAAAGGTATATGTGGATTATCTTGTGTAATTTGCATTTTTCGTCAAACTTAATAATGTATTGTTAGTGTATATTCTTTTTCGTCTACACCAACAATTTAACTTTTGTACGATGAATTATCATATTTGTATTCACTTCTCAAGCACTTGTGTTTATTATCTTCGTCCTTCTATATACTAGCCGAGTTAAAAATCATATCGTACATTGTAACTTGATAAAGTTATGTCGAATCCCAAAGGCTGAAGCATAACACAGTTTTAATAATAATAAGAAGACAAGGCAATATTCAAAAGGTTCTGTTTGTACTATTTTCGACATATAAATAGTTTCAAAATTTGGATTACACAAATCCTCAAGCCATGACGAAAAAAAGCAATCACCGGTGCTGCATGTAATCAAAGCTAAGGGGTTGCGGGTAGAACTGGCCCTGCAGAAACAACAGTCGTTATTAAACACTAATCTAATCACTAATCTAAGTATCTATACAGATGTGTTATAGAATCTACTTTTCCTAACAAGTGTTTCATTGAGGTCTAGGAAGGTCAACAACATTTACAAACCAAAAAAAGGCTCAATAAAGGAGTGACAAAAAGAGGCAAAACACTTGTTTACCTGAAAAGGGGAGTTTCTGAAGTGCTCATAGGAATGAGTATACATCACCGCTGCTGCATTTGGCCATTGCATGTACATAGCAGTAGCATCCACCGAAGGCTGGTTTGAACCCGTGGTGACATAGGGGCTCATGACAGTATGTTGACCGAAGTTAAGAGCTGTAGGAACACTTGGGTTTTGACAATACCCGTTAAATCCCATATCATAGAATGGTGTCCCTATGTCATGAATGTTGAAGTGTGGCAAGCAGATATTTTGGTTGATTGGGAGGTTCCTAATGTACCTGTAAGCGTACATGGTTTTCAGTATACAAAATAAAGCTTTGACGTTCTTTGTTAGTCACAAGCAGTTATCATGGGTTATGGATGCTTTACATACCTTTGATAGCTGCGGTCATAGTCCGGGTCATACCGGTCTTTTTCTCTGTCCCTGAGAATTGCAATACGAGATGCAGGAATGCTCTCCCTGGGGAAATGATTTTTCTCTGCCTCGATGTTACCATTCTTCAACACTTGATTTTCATCTCTGAGAGGATTACAATTCACCCTCCAAGGATTAGTTTCAGATGGAGAATCGTTACAATTAAGGCTCGCTAGACCGTTAAATATACGTTCTCGTGCCCTGTCGTAATCTTCTTTCCTTTCTTCAACACTTCTCAGATGACCAGCTTTCTTTTCAAGATCACCAGATTCCATTCCAGATCCTTTCGAAGGCCGGGGCTTAATAGCAATTTTCATGTGCTCAAACTTGCCAGTTTCTGATTGTTTAGCCGGGATTTCAGATAGTCGAACAGCAGGAAATCTACTCTCAGTTGATTTAGTCACGAGAATCCTGCTCACGTTACCATCTCGAACTGAGGTAACTAGTCCATAGTGGTTAGCAACGCGATGGGCTGCAAGACGGAGATATGATGTCGGGAAATGCTGGAACTCGAATTGCTGCTGATCAGGGTCCTTTAAGAACATCTGAACATCAAGTTCCATCCGCAAAACTGACATAACAAGACCAATAATCTCTTAGAAAACGATAAGAAAAGATGATAAAGAACAAAGCATATGTACCCATCAAGGAGAAATAACTCTTTAACTCTAAACGATATCACATCTTAAACTCAGAACACCAAATTAGAAACATTGCCATTGAAAAATCAGTACCCTAGTTAAGGGGTTTGCCTTGTATCTTCAGCTAGTAAGCTTCAACATCAATAACACTAGCCAAAAGATCTAAATCAGCCAAAGTTTCCTAGAAATCAAGCTAGGCCTATCCAGATAGGCAGAAAATAAACAATCCTCATAGCAATCGTTCTCCCCAAAATCCCTAACCGCGATTCTAAGCTCAATTAAGATAAGCAGGTCAACAAAAAAGGAAACTAGGGCATATCAGGCAGGAATCGGAGACAAAATCAAACTGGGAAAAAAAAAGAGGAAGCTTACTCGTCAGACGATGTCGAGGATTCTGAAGAGCCTCGACCAAAAAAGGATCCACTGTGAATCCCTTCTCGGGCAAAAGGGCACAACCAGTTTCTGAGGGGAAGGCAGTGTCCATGAGAGATGGATGGATAGAGAAACTTGTGGGTAAGTCCTTGCTTCCTCTAAAGGTTGATTCTTGTCTATCTCTCGCAGCGAAGAGACGAAGTCAATCAAGAGGAAGAGGATGATTGAAATGTAAGCATTGAGGACGAGAGAGAAGAAGAGCAAAGCTTCGCTTTAGATGCAAATCTTATCTCTCTCATAAACCGAACGAGAGAGGGAAGATAACTATTTTATTGTTGATTTTATATAATTTTGTGACCCAAAAGAAAAAGAAAAAGATTTATATAGCTCATGTTTTTTTTTTTTTGTGTGTATATTATGAAATAGTACATATGGTAATGGCCTAGTGGGCCGAGTGGCCTTGTAAGAGCTCTTTAAACTAGTTGTCTAGTGGGCCTAGTATTTTTAACACATGCTTATTTCTAGTTTTTACAAAAGTGGTCGTCTATCATCATCATCTACAATTCTGCAAACGGTGGTCAGTCAGAGGAAGAGGGTTTAGATTGCATTGTGCACCCACCAGGCACCAGCTCTCTCTCTCTCTCTCTCTCTCTTTGCAAGCACCTCCCGAGAAAGGTGTGAGATCATATCATACGGTTTGCTTTTTCTTTTAGAATGATTCTCTCTTTGCTGATCTTTTGTTTTGGCGGTGTCCTTTTGTGAAGAGTAAGTATGTACGTAGGTCTTTCGTGATTTGGTGCATGAGTCATCATCTCCCATGTGAACAATGTGAAATTTGATGACTTAAATAGAATCCAAAAGAAAGGACGTCGTCTATGTGGTTAGAACTTAATTAGGAGTGATACCTTTTTCTAGCTAGCTTCCAAGCGGGTATCCAACTTCTTGTTTGAACCTGAACCGCAAATCTCATGTTTTATTTATATGATTGCAGTCCCAAAAAAGTTAAAAAAATTCAAACTAACTAGCTAAAGAATAGATAATTCTAAGTGAAGAATTAAGAACGTACTAAAAAGTTCATAAATTGTACTCTGAGAACTTAAAAAGTACTAAATGTTTGGTAAGTAGAAAGAAAGGGAAAAAACAATGCATTTGATGAATCGTTTATTAGCTTATAACAGAAAGTTGTATCGGTAAAATACTAATAGTCAAGCTAATAATAATGAATAGTGTGATGAGCATAAGAGGTGAGAGTGATGAGAGGGAGAATTAAGAAATGATGAGTAATGCAGAGGGGGGGGAGAGGAGACATGCGTGACGGGAAAGAGACTCAAAAACGACACACACTTGGAAAGTGAAGCCATAAAGATAGCATTCTCTTTTGTTTAATTAAGAAGAGAGAAGTTTCTGGAGAGAGAGAGAGAGAGAGCATACACATGTAATGTAACGAAAACCCTTCCTTCACTCCAACACCAACAACACAATGCAGTCAACGTGCTTTTTTATCACGTGGATGGATGGATTACCCATTACTCAAAATCCCTCCCCCCTCTCGTCGTGCTTTCTTTTACACTCTCCGTTTTACCTTTTCCCCTACAAATGTATCGAAAGCAATTTACAAGTATTAACACTTAAAACATTATAAATTCATTTTATAGATCGATGCAGGTAAAGAGAGCACTATGCTATTTAATTTTATTATAAAGGGAAAAAACTATATTCCTACCTTACATAATACTTTTTTTTTTTATAATCGAAACCTTACATAATACCTATTACCTAAGACCAATTCCACTAAAGAAATTCTTAAAAATTGCTTATGATTAAACTATAATATAACTAAAACTATATGACTGTCTTAATCGTTTGCTTGTGTTGTACCTATAAAAAAACGATTCTTTACTTTATGGCCTATTTTTTGAGGTTTTTGGTTTAATTCCTGATCCACAAAAATAATTAGTACTCCTATAAACAATCCCACTGAAAATGGTCTAATATAACTAATTATACCAAAAATATTTAAGATCTAGAAATCAGATAATGTACGATGGACCTACCTAACTATATTCTAGAATCTAGACTCCTAAAAAATTGGATACAAAAAACTATTCCTCTAGTGGTGTCTTGTTTGAAAATACGATTCCCTAAAAGTCAACACCACAAACTATTCACTACCAAATTAAGGTATTACTATAATCTATAACGTCATGATATGCTTTGCTATATGCTCTTCTAGCCCCCATCTCAACTCTCAAGTGCCAAACACTTCATTAATTTAGTACAAATTAAAAGGACAATTGTACAGATCATATGCATGTAATTATGTAATGGGGTGGATTTCAGACCTTTTTTGCCAGTCTCCAAAATAATAATAATCTATAATTCGGAATTTTGTATATACTCTTATTTTTTTTATCTTGTGTTTGACGTATGAAATGATTACAAAAGTTATAAAAAAAAACAGGTGATGAAAATAGTACAATAACAATAGTATTTGCATTGAATGATGACCTAAAACTCAATAAATCTAAACTATAATTAGACTATATAAAAACAATAAATAAAATCTGTTTTACCCCACAAATCAAATCAAATATTAAATTAAATCATCTGAAATTAACATAATTTTTTTTCTTTATTAGATTTTAGAAAATAAAGTAAAAGTGAATTAAAAAGAGCAAAATTAGAAAACAAATCATACAAGTAAAACACTAGCTATTATTAGTAATAAAGTTATTCAAATTAATTTGCCTAATATTTTTTTTTTTTTTTGTCATAATATTATTTCTAGATTTGTTGTTTGTTTAGTAATTAATTATGGAGAGAGATGTATTTAGGTTCCATTATCATCACGCGCCGTAGACGAAGACGGAAGCAATCACACACACAAGCAGGGGGGGAGCTTCCTCTTCTTCACTTTGTCTTTAAACCCCTCGTCGTCTTTCTCCCGCATCACTCCATAACCCCTCTTTCTTCTTTTTAATCCCTCTCTCTCTCTCCTTCTTCGATCATCTTCTTCCCCAACTCTTTAACCCTAAAACTCAGATAAACAACCAATGGCTGAACCAATCATGGAGCAGCCTCCTCCACCTGCTCCCGACCCTAATTCTACCCACCCTCCTATTCCTCCTTCCGATTTTGATTCCATCTCGATCCCTCCGTTCGATGACCAATTCTACCATCCCGGCTCCGATCAGACTCCGATTGGTGAACTCATGTCCGATCTGGGTTTCCCTGATGGTGAATTCGAGCTCACTTTCGACGGTATGGACGATCTTTACTTCCCCGCTGAGAACGAGTCGTTTCTCATCCCTGTTAACACGTCTAGCCAAGAGCAGTTCGGAGATTTTACGCCGGATTCTGAAGGCTCTGGAATTTCCGGTGATCCCAAAGATGTCTTTAAGAATATTACAACTTCCGGTTGCTCTAACCGGGAATCGCCTAGGGATTCTGATGATCGATGCTCTGGTGCTGACCCTAGCTTAGATCTACCGACTCCGTTGTCGTCTCAGGGTTCGGGTAATTGCGCTTCTGATGTCTCGGAAGCTACTAATGAATCGTCGCCTAAATCAAGAAACGTCGTCGTCGACCAGAAGGTTAAGGTGGAAGAAGCTGCTACTACGACCTCTATTACCAAGAGGAAGAAGGAGATCGAAGAGGATTTGAGTGGAGAGTCTAGGAGCAGTAAGTACAGGAGATCTGGGGAGGAGGATATAGACGCAAGTGCTGTAACCGGCGAAGAAGATGAGAAAAAGAAAGCTAGACTGATGAGAAACCGTGAAAGTGCGCAGCTTTCCAGGCAGAGGAAGAAACATTACGTGGAGGAGCTTGAAGAGAAAGTTAGGAACATGCATTCTACCATAACGGATTTGAATGGTAAGATATCGTATTTCATGGCTGAGAATGCTACTCTTAGGCAGCAATTGGGCGGCAATGGAATGTGCCCGCCGCATCATCCACCTCCTCCCATGGGAATGTATCCACCTATGGCTCCAATGCCTTATCCATGGATGCCTTGTCCACCTTATATGGTGAAGCAACAAGGATCTCAAGTGCCGTTGATTCCCATTCCTAGGTTGAAACCACAGAATCCCCTTGGAACATCCAAGGCAAAGAAGTCGGAGAGTAAGAAGAGTGAAGCTAAGACCAAGAAGGTTGCTAGTATTAGTTTTCTGGGTCTTCTGTTTTGTCTATTTTTGTTTGGTGCATTGGCTCCAATTGTGAACGTTAATTATGGAGGAATTAGTGGTGCCTTTTATGGGAACTATAGGCCTAATTATATTACTGACCAGATTTACAGTCAGCATAGGGATAGAGTTTTGGATACATCTCGTAGTGGTGCTGGTACTGGGGTTTCTAATAGTAATGGGATGGATTGCGGGAGAGATTCTGATCGAGGAACAAGAAATAACATATCTGCAACAGAGAGCTCTGTACCTCCTGGAAATGGTAGTGAGCCTCTAGTTGCATCACTCTTTGTTCCTAGGAATGACAAGCTTGTGAAGATAGATGGGAATTTGATTATTAATTCTATTTTGGCGAGTGAGAAAGCCGTGGCTTCTCGAAAGGCTTCTGAATCCAATGAGAGGAAGGCTGACTTGGTGATTCCGAAAGATTATTCCCCTGCACTACCTCTACCTGACGTGGGAAGGACTGAGGAAATGGCTAAGCATCTTTATAGATCTAAGACTGAAAAACAGAAAGCTCTATCCTCTGGCTCTGCTGATTCTCTGAAAGATCAATTCAAAACAAAAGCAGCCAACGGTGAAATGCAGCAATGGTTTCGTGAAGGTGTTGCAGGTAATCATGGAGTTATAATGTTACATTCTGTCCTCTTGACTTGATTAGGCGTAGAGTCCTTACCATATCTTGATTTTTGACACAAGAACACTTTAATGAGGCTGAACCCTCAGAAAATCTATGGTCATGAGTAGATGGATCACACAATCTAGATTAGATATTAACGAGGAACATGTGAAATTGTTACTCATATAGATTGAAAGAGTAAATCAAGTGTTTATTTCTCTTCGACTTTCTCTGCAAAAGCTTGACGCACAATAGTAGTTTTTTGAGTCTTGCTGATTCTTGTTCACTATATAACTTTATTTTTTGGTTAAACGACTATATTGTAGGGCCCATGTTTAGTTCGGGGATGTGTACTGAAGTGTTTCAGTTTGATGTCTCCTCAACCTCTGGAGCCATCATTCCTGCGTCTCCAGCAACCAACGTCTCTGCTGAACACAGTAAGAACACCACAGACACACGTAAGAGAAAGAACAGAAGAATCCTCCGTGGTCTTCCCATTCCACTCCCGGGATCAGATTTTAATCTCACCAAAGAACACCAAAGAAACAGCAGTAGTAAAGAAATCAAGCCCGCCTCCTCCATGGTGGTATCTGTGCTCGTTGATCCTAGAGAAGGGGGTGATGGAGATATAGATGGAATGATTGGAGGACCAAAATCACTGTCCCGAGTTTTTGTAGTCGTGCTTCTGGACAGTGCAAAGTATGTAACATACTCTTGTGTCCTACCTCGATCAGGAGCTCCTCATCTTGTGACCACTTAAAAGACTTTCGAGGATTGAAACATATTTCAGCAGGTCTTCTCTCCTCTAGGCTTTGTATGTAAAAGAATAAATGCCTGCTCTTTGGTATTTAAGTAATATCCGTAGCTATTACCGTTGTCCGGTTTTTGTTTCCAGATGTAGAATCCGAATGCTGTAACTTTTTTACCTTTGATAAACTTATAACCTTAGAAAGTTTTACTTTACTCATCAAAGCTCTCTAATACATTGCAAAAGTCGGTGACAAGAAAAATGTCTTCTACAAAAGAAACTGAAAAACTCTGAGACAAGAAGTGATCAATTAGCTTATTCCATGGTTTGAGCAAAGGGGCCATTAGTGATAGCCATCTCCATGTCGGAAGGATATGACCCGCTGCTATGTTCTTGAATCTCTCTGTATTCTTGGAAAATGGCACATAAGTGACAGAAGAAGTGAGTTACAAAATCCCAACGTGGAGCCTCCAGCATCAAAGATCGTTACATCAAATTAGAAACGCCACATAGACCAGATGGATTTACCCACACATGCGTCATTTGAGTATTTGTTACCTGTAAGTTGTACTTGGTTCTTAATGACCTGCAATATCCACAAGTATAACATGACACAGCATCCTGGTTGACCGAGTCACACGCTATTTGTTGCAAAGTAGCAAATGTTCCCGACCCTAGAAACTTGTGCACGCAACCTAATCTAAATTTCGTCCATTCAAGAAATCGACTTCATTATGCTTCTAAGCAAAAAGGAAACCTTAGCAAGAACTATTTACCTGAAGAACCAAACTAACCTCCAGTAATATTTGTACACACACCAACACAGGTCAATTCAAAGAGAGGCACCTTATCTTATTGGAATGTAAGGTGGTGGCAGTAAATCCTAGTAAAAAAAAAAAAGGAGAAAACTCTTTACCTTTAATTAGTTTGACGGAGAGAGATTGTGGTTGTGGATTAGCTTTTCTAACTCAGGTTCATGAACCTGAGCTCACTTTTTAATTTATTTTATTAATTGTCAGAAGGAAAAAGAAGTGATCATATGATTATTTAAATGTAACAAGTAGGCCTATAACACGTGAACTTCCCCCATTGCTAAACAAAAAAAAATCATCAAAAATTTGGTTTCTTCTTTTATCACAGTGTACACGCTTCCATGCCCACCAGTTCCTCAAGTTCTTCATAACGCTCCGGATCCGTCGGGGCGACTTGGGAGGACGACGAACTTGAGAGCTTTCTATTTTTTTACTCGTCAAATTTTTTATCATCATTCCCTAAGCTATGAGGCTCACTCCACCCATAACTCCGCCGCCATGAACTCTTTTCTCTCTGCCAGGTACGTCCCCGTCTCCCTCTGATCGGATCTATGGAGGTTTGATTTCATTGCTTTAGCATTTCATCTCATCGATCTGTGGTCTGTGTTGAATAATCAAATTTATTCTAGATTCAGTTTTTCTAGATCGACTTAGTATTTGATTCCGTAGCTCCATCGAAATTTGTATCTTTAGACTTGGACTCAGAGTCTAAATCTAGTCTTTAAAGTTTCTTTGTATATTTTGACCAGATCAACAAAAGTGGTCTGAGCTCCAAAAATGGAGTCATGTGATTGTTTTGAGACGCATGTGAATCAAGATGATCTATTAGTCAAGTACCAATACATCTCCGATGCGTTGATCGCTCTTGCATACTTCTCTATCCCACTCGAGCTTATATATTTCGTGCAGAAGTCTGCCTTCTTCCCTTACAAATGGGTGCTTATGCAGTTTGGAGCCTTCATCATCCTCTGTGGAGCAACCCATTTTATAAACCTATGGATGTTCTTTATGCACTCCAAAGCTGTGGCCATTGTCATGACTATTGCCAAAGTCTCATGCGCAGTTGTCTCCTGTGCGACTGCATTGATGTTGGTTCATATTATTCCTGATCTTCTCAGTGTCAAGAACCGGGAATTGTTTCTCAAGAAGAAAGCTGATGAGCTAGACAGAGAAATGGGTCTTATTCTAACACAAGAGGAGACTGGTAGGCATGTTAGGATGCTTACTCATGGAATCAGAAGAACGCTTGACAGACATACTATTCTAAGAACCACTCTCGTTGAGCTCGGTAAAACTCTTTGCCTCGAGGAATGCGCCTTGTGGATGCCTTCTCAAAGTGGTCTCTATCTGCAGCTTTCTCATACTTTGAGCCACAAAATACAAGTTGGAAGCAGTGTCCCTATAAATCTCCCCATTATTAATGAACTCTTCAATAGCGCTCAAGCAATGCACATACCTCATACATGTCCTTTGGCTAAAATTGGGCCTCCAGTTGGGAGGTATTCGCCTCCTGAGGTTGTTTCTGTCCGTGTACCTCTTTTACATCTCTCAAATTTCCAAGGCAGTGACTGGTCCGATCTCTCTGGCAAAGGTTACGCTATCATGGTCCTGATTCTCCCAACTGATGGTGCAAGAAAATGGAGAGACCATGAGTTAGAACTTGTAGAAAATGTGGCGGATCAGGTCCATCTCTTCACTTGTACATATGTTTGGTTGTGTGCCATGTTGCATTACCAGCGTTTAATTTTTTCGTTTTGTCCCCTGACTCTCAATTCATTTAGGTGGCTGTGGCTCTCTCACACGCTGCAATTTTGGAAGAATCCATGCACGCCCGAGACCAGCTTATGGAGCAAAATTTTGCTTTAGACAAGGCTCGTCAAGAGGCAGAGATGGCAGTACATGCTCGAAATGATTTCCTAGCTGTCATGAACCATGAGATGAGGACACCGATGCATGCCATCATCTCTCTGTCTTCTCTCCTCCTTGAAACTGAGCTGTCTCCAGAACAGAGAGTTATGATCGAGACAATACTGAAAAGCAGCAATCTTGTGGCTACGCTCATCAGTGACGTCCTGGATCTTTCGAGGTTGGAAGATGGGAGTTTACTCTTGGAAAATGAACCATTTAGTCTCCAAGCGATATTCGAAGAGGTATCTTAAATCCCCCAGATTGACCAGTAAAGTCCATTTTATGTCTTTCATAAAATAACATGGGCGGTTTGAATCTGCAGGTCATCTCTCTGATAAAGCCAATCGCATCGGTGAAGAAACTATCAACAAATCTAATTCTATCTGCAGACTTACCAACTTATGCTATTGGTGATGAGAAACGTCTGATGCAAACTATTCTCAACATCATGGGGAACGCTGTGAAATTCACCAAGGAAGGCTACATCTCCATAATAGCCTCTATCATGAAACCCGAGTCCTTACAAGAATTACCATCTCCAGAATTCTTTCCAGTTCTCAGTGATAATCATTTCTACCTATGCGTGCAGGTTAGTCCTAATCTACATATTACAAAACAAGTAAGTCAAGCTTCTTTCTGTGTCCTAAATGTTACAATCTTGGAGCAGGTGAAGGACACAGGGTGTGGAATTCACACACAAGACATTCCTTTGCTCTTCACAAAATTTGTACAGCCTCGGACTGGAACTCAGAGGAACCATTCCGGTGGAGGACTCGGGCTAGCTCTCTGCAAACGGTGAGACCCAAAGTATATATAAGTTATTGAGCATTTGGTGTCAGAAATAGCTAAAGGGTAAAGTTTTTGTTGATGGGTGTCTCTGGTCAGGTTCGTGGGGCTAATGGGAGGATACATGTGGATAGAAAGCGAAGGCTTAGAGAAAGGGTGCACAGCTTCATTCATCATCAGGCTTGGTGTCTTCAAAGGTCCAAGCAGTAGTAGTGGTTCAATGGCGCTACATCTTGCAGCAAAATCACAAACTAGATCGTGGAACTGGTGATAAATTACGTTGGAAAGACATGTTGTGACTTGTATCGAGGAGAGACTAGGGACTCTAATTACACCGCAGCGAGAGAGAGAAGAAACATGACCGCACGGTCTGATCTAATTGATTGGATTTTGTTGGATGGAAAATGTAAAATAAAAATACTATATACGAGGGAGAGGGACCTTTATCTTATCTTACTTTTAACACAGACAAATCATTGATTTAAATGTTAAGAATCACCAACATTGTTGGATATCAAGAGCACAATCAATGTCAAAATCTTCAAACTAAGCTTTCATCAGTTTGCTTAGCTTGATATTCCTCATGGTTGGTTTCATCAACTTTCTTATCGACAAGAACTTGGGACTCTGTTAGAAAGTTTTGTTTTACTCATTAAACTTCTCAAGACTCAAATACATTGCAAAAGTCAATGACAAGAAAAATGTGTTCCACAATAGAAACTGAAAACTCAAGGGGACAAAAGTGATCAGTTAGCTGGTTCCATGGTTTGAGCCAAGGGGGCATTGGTGATAGCCATTTTCATGTCGGGAGGATATGAGCCGCTTCTACGCTCTTGTATCTCTCTGAATTCTTGGCAAATGGCACACAAGTGACAGAAGAAGTGTGTTACAAAATCCCCACATGGAGCCTCCTGCATCAAAGATTGTTACATCAGTCAGCAAAGCCACACAGACCAATGGAATACAACACACATAACATGTGTCCATTGAGTAATTCGTACCTGTAAATTATACTTGGTTCTTAGTGACCTGCGGTATCCGCAAGCATAACACGATACAAAGCATCCTGGCAGACCGAGTAACACACCGTTTGTTGCAAAGCAGCAAATGGTGTTGACCAAAGCCCATGAAATGCAATGAGTTAAACAGGGTCCTGCAAATGTTCCAGACCCCAGAGACTCTGCGTTTTTGCCAAAGATATAACATGGACAGAACAAACCTATACAACCTGTGCATCCAAAACAAACCGCAGTAAGTTCAAACGTTGCGCTCATATCAGTAATCTAGATGATCTACACCAAACACAAGAAAACATAATCATGTCCAAGAGAAGTAGCTCAAGGAAGCTCAAGCAAATATATTGTGCCAAAATTTTCTGCACCAAAAGCTAAACTTAAGTTTCTTTCCCAACCTATTCAAGAAACGAAAATGGTTATGCTTCTAATCAAAAAGAAAAACAAAAAAAAAACCTCAGCAAGAACTATTAACCAGAACCAAACTTATCTTAAGGAATATATCTGAACACAAACACAGAGTCATATCTCACAGGCCAATTCAAAAAAGGCACCTTTAAAAAAATTGGTTGCTGAAGTAAAATGAAGGTTTGGAGGACAGAGAGTAGCATACAGCTCTGCATATCGTCGAAGCACGCGCATATACCAGATGACCATTGTCTCGGATCATCATTTGAGCGTTGAGAAACAGCAATTTCCAGATTTGGAGTAGTGGTCTTTTCTTCAGCATCCTCATCAGCACCAGCATCTGACTGTCTTAATGGAACATAAGGTGGTGGCACGTAATGACCTTTCTCTTTCATCCTAATTCTGAAACGTGTCACACTTTCTTGAATCCAATTTCAAGAACGATCGTACACTACCTCAAAGCCTAGAATTAGAGACCAGGAAATACAGACATAACAAATTAATACTTTGAGTAGCATGATAATGAACACATCTACAAAATTTGCAAGCGAAATGGTGGTAGTGAAAGGGAGAACAAAAGACTAGCGCAAGAAGCAGAGACAAGATGATAGGAAAGGAGAAGAAAGCAGATTTAAGAGAGAGTGTAAAGGAAACCCAAAAAAGAGAAGCCTTACTTGAGCTCGACGGAGAAAGATTGGATCCGCATAAAGAAGAAACTCAGATTCGCGAGAAAGAGCTTCGCTTTTATTATGTTTGATGGAGTAAAATTGACCAGAGGCCACCTACATATAATCAATAAAAGTGTTCAATTAATTTTAATTTTTAAATATACAAAAAAAGAAATTTATTAAATAGATGTTTCTAGTCAATTTGTGCCAATCACTTAATTTAGACTATACTGTAAGTTAATTATTGTATGTAGTCCAACTAATTGTTTAAAGTTATCCACCATGTTCTAGATTTTAGATTAATAAGAGAAAAGTAAAAAGTTCTTTTGTGTGACTTAGAAAAGTACAAAGTTATTAAATAAAAATTTCAACAGTTTTGTTTTATATTTTAGATTCAACCTTATATTGTAAATTTCAACAGTTTTGTCTTATTACAGTCCAAATTTTGGTCATGTGAATTTTTATGTTATGTATTTCAAATTTAAATTATTGTTTTTTTTTTTTTTTTTTTTCCATTTATTCATAAAACTTGGTGGAATTTGTGGAACATAATTCGAAAATACTATCGAGGAGCGAAGCCAGCAAGGATCTGTTTTTACTTTTTAGAGAAAAGAGAGAGAGAGAAGATTCCTCCGACTTATGTTAGCGAGCGGCTCACTCTACTTTGTCCCCCCACCCCAACAAAAAAGCCGTTAGGGTTTATCTTAGCCACCGCCTTGCTCTCGCCGGAGGCCCACGGCGAAGCACGATTCTTCGATACAGCGTTTTATCAGCTCAGATTTCGTCCCCGCATAGCCAGAATTCGCGAAAGCTTACTTAGCTGAATAGAATTTAATCCTAATTTACGAGATATGGCGGAGGTGTCCATGGGAAGCAGCGGTAGCAGCACGGATCTGTCTCCCGAGGAAGAGCGAGTTTTCATCAGAGACATTGCTATTGCTGCTGAGGCTAACAGCAAAGAAGGCGATACATTTTATCTCATCACTCAGAGGTGTGCAAAATCTTTAATTTAGCTCGCTCTGCTCACTTGTACCTTTGTTGTTTACCACTTCATCATATTCCCAAGAGTTATATTTATCTCTTCGCCATTTTTTGACTTTGCTTTTCTTAGTTAGGGTTTAGGGATTGGGTTATTTTTATCAGTTCCCGAGACTAGTTTTGAGCGTTTTCAGAACGTTTTCCTAAGAACCGTCTTTTATGGTTACATAAAGCAGTGAGCTTAGATCTGATACTTACTGCTCATGCTGACTCATATTTATGTGTATTGTATAGATTGCAGCCATAAAGTTAGTAAGGGTTTGATTTTTCTCTTATGGTTCTTGTAATTTTGCTCAATGCCATCTTTGAGAACAGTTTCTCTGTTGTTACTCTTTCTGTCTAGATGGTGGCAAGAATGGATCGAATACGTGAACCAAGACCAACCATGCAACACAAATGATGGGTCTTCACTGTCAGAGCATTGTGACTCTGCTGGCTCGAGCACTCTAAAGAAGCCTTCTAGGATCGATAACTCTGATTTGATCTATGACTCTTCCCTGGAGGACCCAAGTAATACTAGTGAGATCATTGAAACACTTCAGGAAGGCCGCGACTATGTTTTGCTCCCTCAAGAAGTGTGGAATCAATTGCGTTCATGGTGAGTTTTAAGGGTAGCATAATGGAACATATATGAAACTATTCTTGTTTGGGCTACATGATTTCGATGTCTATTCAAGTGCGTTCGACTTTCTTGGTGACTTACCTATGTTATTGTTGGTTCAAGTTGATATTACGTACCGCAAGTGTCTGTAGCTCTACCAAGCTTATTTTGTATGCATCTGGTGTTATTTAGTTTTGTTTTGCTTAATATGAAACCTACAACCAGTTCCTTGGTTTTCTTATTTACTACAATATGGCTTTTTTTTCACCTTAAGTGATGATATAATTCATATGGATTGCTGCTTCTGTTTTACAAGGTACGGAGGTGGTCCAACTTTGGCGCGGAGAGTCATTAGCTCAGGTCTCTCTCAAACAGAGTTGGCTGTGGAGGTTTACCCTTTACGTCTTCAGCTACTTCTGATGCCGAAAAATGACCGCAGTGCCATAAGAATAAGCAAAAAGGTTCGTCCATTTTTTAGTTCTTTTTCTTCATGGTCCATTACTTTAAAGTTCCGAACTCATTTAGTCTGCTATTTCGTTGTACTATTAAAACTTTGTTGTGCAGGAAACAATCAGAGAGCTTCATCGAAGAGCCTGTGAAATTTTTGACCTCAATGCAGAGCATGTAAAGATCTGAAATCCCTATGTTATCAACCCATCATCCATTTCAATGATACTTTCTGTATTCTTTTCTTTCCCTTTCTCTTTCTTACATGAGCATTTTCCATCATTTAGGTACGCATTTGGGATTACTACGGCCACCAAAAATATTCTTTGATGAATGACTTAGATAAGACACTGGACGATGCTAACCTGCAAATGGATCAGGAAGTGAGTTCAGTTCTTTTTTAATTTCCATTTAAATGTTATCAGCTGGGAACTAGTAGTATGCTACTTGAACTTCTGTCATAATTTTCTGTCTTTCTGACATTGTTTCTGGGTATGCCAAGTTTGTTGTATATCTTTATGGCCAATTGCTGTGAGGACAGAATGGATGATGCATCATAGTTCTCTTTCTCCAATACTAAGTTAGCTGGAGTTCTGAAATTGCTATTAGGTTTTGGCTTTTGAATTTTTTTGACCATGAGGGCAACATTTGATAATGAAAAGTTAGTGCTTCAGTCCGATTGTTTAGCTAGCTTAAGCTTGAGGTTTTATATCTCTCTTAACGTTTATCTATTTTGGTATCCTAAAGGACTCATCTAGTCTCCCACTTAATTTGTATATGTCGTTTAACAACAGATTTTGGTGGAGGTGCTTGACATCAATGGTACATTATCAAGTGCTCACATTCAATCTGCTCAAGAGAATGGATTGGTGGATGAAGACTCTACTTCTATTCTCACTGAGCCTTCTAAATCAAGCTTGGCAGCTGCAGGAGGGTTCTCTTCAAGCAGGAATGCATTCAGAAGTGGTAGTGTAGAAGTTTCACAATCTTTTGATAGCACATACAGTGGCACTGGTGTCACCACAAGGGGATCCACAGCTGGCTTGACAGGGCTGCTAAATCTCGGCAATACTTGTTTCATGAATAGTGCCATACAGTGTCTGGTTCATACACCTGAGTTTGCTAGTTATTTTCAAGAAGATTATCATCAAGAAATAAATTGGCAAAATCCTCTTGGCATGGTTGTAAGTTCCTTGCTACTCATAAATTGATGGATCCATAAGTGTGTGCGTAGGTTTAAGTACATAGTGTATGCTTACATGATTTGTTCATTTTGTGTTTCCTATTGCATCTTTTGCTGTACTGCATGCTTGGAGTGTGCTTTAGTCCCAAACATTGTTGATAAGCTTAATCTTGCATACACGTGAAATAATGTTAAGACTATATAAGATATTTTATGTCACACTTAGATCAAAAGCTTTGTTTCTCTCTAAAATTATGAGTTGTTGATTTCAGATCAATACTTGACTGTATTTGAATCATTATGCACAGGGAGAATTAGCACTAGCATTTGGTGACTTACTCAGGAAGTTATGGGCACCTGGGCGCACACCAATTGCACCCCGTCCATTCAAAGCAAAACTTGCTCGCTTTGCTCCTCAATTTAGTGGGTACAATCAACATGATTCACAGGTTTGTCATACTAACCAGATATTTTATATTCGCTGTATTGCATTGCAGCTCAATGAATTAGGGGTTTCATCTTACAGGAGCTTTTAGCGTTTCTGCTAGATGGTCTCCATGAGGATCTAAATCGTGTTAAGCATAAACCATATATAAATTCTCGAGACGCAGATGGGCGCCGTGATGAAGAAGTTGCTGATGAGTTTTGGGCTAATCATATTGCTCGTAATGACTCAATAATCGTTGATGTTTGCCAGGTCAGATGTACATCTTTTAGAAAATCTAACGCTTTTCTGTGTATAAACGCATCTCTATGATATTGTGCATTAAAATTGATCATAGTATTATGGATTAGGCTTGCATTTAGTTTGACTCTATAACGTCTTGGAATCTGATTTATATCACTCCAATAATAGACACTATGAGTCACTCAAATTCCAGTCCCTTCTGCTTTTTAGTGGCTCTGTAGAAAGTAATTTATATCAAAAGAGTTAGGTTGTCCTAGTAAAAAATACTTCTCACAGAGACGCTGTGTTTAAATGGGTACATCAATTGTCTCTCTGTGCATATTGAATTTACTGTTGAGATTTTATGCTAATCTCGGTTGTGAGTAATAATACCATCCATCATATATCAGCTTTTCTATGGCATTCACTCGATTTGTAATTGATATTTAGCTTGTATTTAGACCCAGGGTATATTGTTATTTTTGGTTTAGTTTCAGTTTTTAAGTAATGTGCGAAACTCAATTCTTCTATTTTGTGTCTCACCTTACAGGGGCAATATAAGTCAACATTGGTTTGTCCAATCTGCAACAAAGTTTCTGTAACATTTGATCCCTTCATGTACCTGTCTTTGCCGCTTCAGTTCAACACAACACGAGCAATAACAGTCACAGTTTTTTCTTGTGATAAAACTCTCTTACCTTCCACAGTCACTGTCAATGTTTCAAAGCAGGGACGTTGCAGAGACTTGACTCAGGCAATAACAAGTGCTTGTTCCTTTAAGCAAAATGAAGAGCTGAAGCTTGCAGAGGTTTGTGGTTTCAAGTGCCTTTTTAGTAAGATTCAGGATTTTGGCTTTAGCTTAACTAAGTTTTATATGTTTTTGGCAGATTCGGAATAATTTTATCCATAGATTGTTTGAAGACCCTTTAATTCCATTGTCCACTATCAAAGACGATGATCACCTTGCTGCATACAAAGTCTTGAAATCTTCAGAAAATACAACTTTGCTTAGATTAGTACTCCGCCGTAGAGATCTGTAAGTTATATCTCAGTCTATATTGTATGAACTAATTCTGGGGATTACTTTGAGATTACAAGTTCCTCTTCTGTACTCGATATCTTTGGACGTCCTTTCTGACAACTTCTAACTTTCTTGTGGCCTTACTTCTTTATCCTTTGATCTCTGACCAATTTTTGAATGCTTGATGAATTCTGAGCTGAGGAAAGATCATATTTTATCATCTGTTTGCTCTCTTCTTTATCATCTTATTCTACCATGTTTCAGGAAAGCTGGGGAACGTGAAAGTACAGTACAGTTGAAACCCTGTGGAACGCCTCTTCTCTCATCAGCTTCACGAGGAGATTCGCTCACCAAAGGAAAAATCTTGTGCATCGTCCAGAATATGCTTTCACCTTTTCGGAGGGAAGAATCTGTAGGCAAAAAAGGAAATTCTGATTCTAGCATCCCTGAGAGAAGGTCTGCTCGATTTAATAATTCTGAGGAAGATGATAAAGTTGGTGGACTGAAAAAAGCTAAGAAAAGCAACTCCTCCGAATTGGGTGCTTCTAAATTATCCCTGCAACTCATTGATGAAAACAGTAAAACAATAAATCTGCCAGACGATGAAGCAGATGCAATTAAATTAACCTCATCAGCTACGGTAACTATATATTTAGATTGGACACCAGAACTCTCTAATATGTATGATATAACTTGCCTGGAGAGTTTGCCCGAAGTACTCAGATATGGACCTGCTACGAAGAAGGCTCGTTCAGAACCTCTTTCTTTATACGCATGTTTGGAAGCGTTTCTACGCGAAGAGCCTTTAGTGCCTGACGAAATGTGGTAAGCAGTATTTTCTCCTTATCCTTTTTTGTGGTAGATTCATTTTTACTGGTTTGTGGTTAATGTTGGACTACGCACTACTGAAAGATGATGAATGAAGAAATTGCTAGTGTTACTTCAGATCGAAGTTGGACACACTGTATTCCTGCAGTTAGATTTTAGCCTCTATCTTATAGTTAGTTGCTAAATCAATGAATGGTATCATTTTCTTTATTCTTCTTATGTAGGTTCTGTCCACAATGCAATGAAAGAAGGCAGGCAAGCAAAAAGCTTGATCTGTGGAGGCTTCCTGAGGTTTTAGTCATACATCTGAAGAGATTCTCATACAGCAGATCCATGAAGCACAAGTTGGAAACATTTGTTAACTTTCCGATTCATGACTTAGATTTAACAAAGTATGTAGCCAACAAAAACCTATCTCAACCACAACTGTATGAGCTCTATGCCTTGACCAACCATTATGGTGGTATGGGCAGCGGACACTACACTGCACATATCAAGGTCAGTTCAAACAACTTAACTTTATCAATCTGTTTCCACTTATGAGTTTCTTACTTCTTGTTAAATGATTGAATATGGTCTGCAGCTTTTGGACGACAATAGGTGGTATAACTTCGATGACAGCCATATATCACATATAAACGAAGATGATGTGAAGTCAGGTGCTGCTTATGTGCTCTTTTACAGGAGGAAGTCTGATGCAGGCGGCAAAATGAAATAGTCTACAGAAAACAACAATCACCGAGGTAACAAATATCAGTTTTTTGTTTTGTTTTATCTCTGAAAAAAACAACTTTAGTTAGATCTCTGAAACTTTGTGTGGACTTGCAGGTTCCAATAGTAATCTCTAGGCAGGTGTCGGCAACTTGGAACCCATAAAGAGTGACAATTAGGGTTAGATCTATTGTAAATTGGTGGAAGTTGGGTACTGAGTAGTTTAATTAACAGGGATGAATCTTGTCTCTTCTTGTCTCTCTCTCTCTCTCTCTTTCTCTCGGTTTCTGTATAGATGTATTTGGCATAAACCAGTTCTGTTATTGTCACTGATACTTACTCATCAGACTCGGTGTATTATTGTCACACTGACATGCTTTTAAATTAAGACAGATTTTGTTGCCCCTAATCTTGTATTATAAAATCTAGCTACAGATTTATAACAACAGGTTCGACAAATAAAAAACTGAATGCGGCTAAGTAAACGTTGTTGCATCAGTAATTGTAAATGGATGGCAATAACGATTTGAATTCTTCTTAACCCCTCCATCAGTCGCTGTTGTCATCATCACGACTCCAATTTCCATTCACACCGTAGGTATATTCATCCTAAGGTCAGAGTATTTGGGCAAGGAAGAACACAAAAACTGGTCTTTGTGTTCCAACTAGTGGTCCAAGGAAGATTAACACGCAAAACCGCTGGTCTTTTTTTTTCCTTTTTTTTTTTTTTTATATGGACCATATATATGATTATTATGATCATAATGTTTTGCAAATGTCGATAGGTATGATATGCAGCAGGGGATGCAGCGTCCCGTATATATCGGATTGTGTTAATAGTTAATACGGAGTATTATTATTATTTCCTTTTCCTTTTTTTACTTTTATTTTGTATCTCATTTTTTAATTTAAGACTCAAGAGTTGATATATATATATATCAAAATTAGGTTTCTCCTTCAAAGCCCTAATATCGATTTTTGGAGTTAAAAGTTAGTTTTATTTTTGGAAATTTGTGCAGAAGAGCTAAAAGAGATGCAGAGAAGAAGGGTGGATCTAAAACAAGCGAAGTCAGAGCAGGAGGAGTGTCAGATCATTCCCCAGGTCGTCTCTCTCAGAGATTTCGATCAGATTCAGGTATGAATACGCTTCCTTAATACGCACGTTTAATTTATGCAAATCGTAGCTTTGGTCTTTTTTTTGTCTCAATATATGGGTCGGTTTAGTTTGTATTGTATACTTGTATGTACTTGTTTTTGAGTTTGAATTTTTAACTTCTCTGTTGAAGATAAAGGATGGAGAAGGAGTGAACTCATTAGCATTGTTTCCAGCCGAAATTCGTGACAACATTGATCTCGTGATCGAGATTCTTATGAAATTGCCAACAAAGTTCCTGATGAGGTTCAAGTGCGTCTCAAAGCAGTGGTCATCCCTCATATTTTGTCGATATTTTTGCAAACGTTTGTTTACTACGGTCAGACGAAGACAACCACGCCTGTACATGTGCTTAGTGGATGGCGCAAGCGAGGACCGTGTACTTCTATCAACATCATCACCAATTCCAGACAACACAGCTTGTTTTGTGGTTGTCGAGCAAGAGTTGAGCATCCCAGGGATGGGAGGCTTATTCTTGAACGTAGTTCATGGCTTGATGTGTTTCTCCCGTGGTGACAAGGTGTGTATCTATAACCCCAGCACCAAACAACTCTTGACATTACCCAAGGTAAAATCAGACATTGTAGCTGAACAAGGTCAAAAGAAGCGTCATACCCAGTATTATATAGGACACGACCCTGTTAGTGGTCAGTACAAACTAGTCTGCACTGTTGGGGTATGCGCGCGAAAGCCATGTTTGGGTAATCTGAAGTCAGAGCACTGGGTCTTCGCACTAGAATCTGGAAGTTCGTGGAGAAAGGTTGTTACACTGGAAAACTATCGTCATCATGCCCCTTCCCCGCTAGGACGGTCTACCAGTGGATCAGTAGTACGTTATATGGCTTGGCCTGATAATTATCATTGTGTGGTTGTGAGTTTCGACATTAGGTCTGAAAAGTTTACTATCATCCCAGTACCTAGGGAGATGGCCGATGATGAGGCTGTGTCTGCAGTTACGATGAGGGCTGATCTTATAGAGTATGGTGGGAAGATAGCAATTTTCCATCACACTTACCTTAAAGACGAGGGTTCATCGGATTTATGGGTTTTGGAAGACGTTGGGAAGAATGAATGGTCGAAGAAGACTATGGTTTTGCAGCCATGTCAAAGGCATTTAGTCGAAGACATTGGATTGATCGTAAGGGGTACAACTCAAGACGGCAAGGTAATCTTGGCACCGTGGAAGATGCATTCCCGATTCTACATTCTGTATTACGACTTGGAAAGCAATGACTTGAGAAAGGTTGAAATCAAAGGAGTACCACGCATGTGGCTTGATAGAGAAGAATGCTATCTTGACTTGAATTATATGGGTGATAGTGAGGGCTTCATTTACTTGGAAACTTGACCAAGACTCTTTTGAATTTTTTTTTTTAATTTTTTTGTGTGTTTTGTTTGTCTAGCTTATTAAGAATACAATTAAGTACTTTATTGATATTTCTAATTACTTTAAAATAAACTATATAACATGCTCTTGATATTATTGGTCTCCTACTTAAATGCTTTGTTTCAAGCAGTCGCATATTGGAGAGGATAGTCTTTTTTTTTGTGTGTAGAAGTTTGGAATTAGCAAAAAAAAAATTAAACGTTATATACATTCTCTTTCATTAACAGCCCAACGTGCTCCGTCCCCTAAACTAACATATCCATACTCACTTCAGAACTCATTTAGCTAGTTAAAGACACGTAGGAATATAGGATACGAGAAATAACCTAATGAATAACCAAATCAGTCTTCTCCCCTCAGTGATCTTCATTCTTCAAAACCATAGACCGGGAGATAAAGAACTCCATCACTGCAAGACAACTCAAGAAGCGTTTCAAAAGGCTTATGAGTATGTGGTTGAACTAGCTCTGTTTATCTTAGCTGCTCTATTGTCTTCTTGTTTCCCCTTTTTTTTTTTTTTGCCAAGAATTCAATGTAATAGGTTGTAAAACCAACTCTTCATCTATATGATATTTGCAATTTAGCAAAAATATATATAGAAAACTAGTACCTTTGGGCTATTTTGTACATCTATATGCTTTTAAAATAATAATAATAATAATAATAATAATATGCAGCAGCATTCTTGTTAAAGCTATATAATAGGAAAGAAATTAAAAAGTTGAGATGATAGCAAATTGCTCAAATGCCATTTTCATGAAAAGATAACAAAATGAAAAAAGATGAAAGAAAGACATGAACTTTGGGGATGACCCAAAAAGTTTGTGTGTGGAAATGAAATTGCTGGAGGGTGATTAGATGACCATTTTGATTTGTTGCCCTCTTTTTTTCCCCATTACTCTTTGGTACCCAAATACGCACCCACACTTTTGACCCTCACCCACTTTCTCTATTTTTTTCTCTAATCACAATCATGCGTTGCTTTCATATATTTTTCTTTTTTATATATAAAAAAACGAGCACCCCCTCAAACATTTATAATCTTCGAGTTTAATTCATATATGTCGGCTACTTATAATGTCTGTACATATATAGACACACAAGTTTTGTATTCATATTTCTAGTCCAAACATTTTAAATTATAAATTAAACTAGATATCTCTTATACTTTACTTTTTTTAAAAAATATCTCTTATACTAATACACAAATCAATTGAGTCCCGAAATCTACAATCGAGCTATATATGTATCATGTACAATTATAATAGTATAAGAAATCCTACGTACGTACATATCCTATTATTTGAGTATATATATGAGCATGAGCTAGTAATGTAGTAATTTAAACGAGCACTGAGTCAAGATCAAAAGGAAAACGCTATGGTAAACTGGTTATAAGAATTGCTGTCCAAAAAAAAAAAAATTGGTTACAGTATAAGAATTTTAGATAGAAATGTATGTGGAGATAAGACGTCCGACACGGTGCATGGTTCACCTCGTCGCATCGATTCTAGTTTGGTAGAAATGTGTGAATAATATTGAAAACTTAAAAGTGATTTAATTAGATTTACGAATGTTGTAATTTTTTTACGCAAATAATGAAAAGTGAGATACATATGCCAGATTTTGTCAGAAGGATTTTTGTGTAAGCATATATTTCCCAATCGCGCGCAGAGACGTAAAATATTCGATTCGGTAACTCTATCGTAATGTGTTGACACCTGTACGTCTCTGACACTAGGACTATGATTTACGTGGAATCCACACATCCATACTCACCATGACACACACAAAGTGCACCTTTTTTCATCTATTTTGATTTTTATTTAACTTTAAAGTTTTACACGAAAGGATATGCTAATTTTTTTTAGCCACATAACTATAATATTAGTATGCAGGTGTATGTAAACATCACTAATTAACTGGTGAAAAACAAAAAAGATCGATCATAGTCTGGCATAAATAAGTATTGGTAAAAAAAAAAAAAAAGTTATTGGTGATAAAAATTAACTAAAAATTCTACATGAAAGTGTAAGAATTTGTAATGCTATTTTAATCTTCTTTTTTTTTTCAAAAGCATTCCATTAGTACTGTTAAGATTTAGTAAATTAGAATTCTTTCTTTTACATCTCAAATTATTTTTTCTTGTCAACGTAACACGAATTAGAATTCTGCATATTATTCTTATTAAAACAAAGTTGACCAAAAAAAATACACACTAAAGATTATGGAATACAAGTGAGACATCTCCTCTATTTGGATAAGTGTATCGAATTTTTAACTAGTAGCATGATGGATAGTATAGTAGAAACTTCAAATAAAAACAATAAATATTGTGAGATATATGTGTTACCGATAGAATCATTAAACCTTTTCTGATTAGTTTAACATGAATAATTGCATATAATTGCTCTATGCTCTAACCATGCATATCAATAAAGACATGCGACCTAATAAAATACAAATGAATCTATCTATCTAATTCATCAAATTAAAACTTTTAAGATACGAATTTCTACACAAACCTTCCCCAACTAGGTAAAGTAGCCACTATTGTCTCTTAAAGTGACATTAATGCATATTCTACAAAAGATAATGGATGCCCAACTATATATTATAAAAAACATAAGTGAAGCATTTTGAGACATAAAGGATGCAATATCTAGGGTTTTATTAATCAAACAAAAGAATCCAATGAGTTATGTGGTGAGCTTTTCTTCACCCATTTTATTTTAGTATATTATGTGGTTTACATTTCGGATAAGCAATTATATGCAGATTGACATCTACGCAAATATGTATAGCTAGATTTATGTGCAAGACATATATACAACATGCACTCTGACTTTGTTGGACTACATTTTTTTTTTAGTAAGAGTTGGTAAATTTAATCAATTAAAAAGGAATAAGTATATGTTATATCGTATAATTACTTTTCTTATAAGGACACAATAATAACTACTTAAATTTCCAAAACGTTTTAATTAATATACGTACATGTATAACAGTGACATAAACTAATGATGAGACAAAACCATCTAATTTTGTGATTTAATTTGTTTAATCAGTAGTACGCAAATCACACGAATTCTCAAACTTAATTAATCCGTAACGCATTTGATGACACAGTCACACAAAGACAAACCATCGAAACTGTGTCTGTGTTAATCGTGCACATTTGATTTTATTGTATTTATTTATTCATTGTCATTGAAATAAGAGAAATAATTGCTAGAAACTAGATTATATACACGTAACTCTCTTTATATATATGTAGCATTGCATGTCCTTTTCCGATTATAACGAGTTATTGTTTGTAAAATGAGCCGACTTCAAACGGAGAAAATGATTTTTAGATGATTTATTTGGAACTTTTAATATTCAATTATTCCCGCTAGAGATATATCTGAAAGATACATATAACAAAGAGAGAGTGTCACAATTCTTCGAAAACTTTATCGAAACAAAAAAGAGACAGTGAAGAAGACATTTGAAAATTTTAACCACTACATTGTTTTTCATAAATCAACATAATTTCTTCTCTGTTAGAAGACATTTTTCTTTTATATTATGAATTTTCTTGTGTAACATAGTAAGGGCACCATTGGTGGTATCTTAAAATGCTAAGATACCACAATTTTACAAAAGAAAGATCTTATATTAAATCTTTTCTTTGCAAAATTCTAAGATACCCCTATAATGTTGGTCTAAGTTTTTTGGATAGAACAATTGAAAGGTATATGAAGCGCCCAAAACAGAAATTCCAAGATTTTCTAGTTCTAATATACATGTTCTGGTTCATTTTTTTTTTCCATGGTAAATTTCTGATTCACTTTAACCACATATATATATATATAACTCTATATTTGTTAAGTAGGTCTAAATATCTGTTTTTTTTTTTTTTTTGGTGGAGATTGAAATCGATAATAGACAAGACATGTAACACATATTTTGTCCACCTTGATATTTTTTTTTTTTTTTTTTTTTTTGTCAATTTGTCCACCTTGAATATTTCAACTTATAATGTTAGTTTTTGAGATATGGGGTCCCAAGGTACGTAGGATTGAACCCAAATTGTTTAACTGTTGCTGCGAGGACGTGGGACTCAATCTGTCCACTTATGTTTCTTTCATTGATTTAAGATCTGGATGATTTGTGACCATGAGTCTTAAGCTGAGTAGGAATTATTAGGATTAGAAGTGGACATGCGTCACATTCCATACGTATATAACCCCATTTTCTCATTGCCATGACCATGAGTTAAATCCTTTTTTTTTTCTTTTTCAGTGGTTGGTCGGTCGAGTTGTCAAATTTCTACTATACATTAACCAAAAAAATATGCTACTATGATGATGAGGAGAGTCATGAGACGTAGACCACATATGTATATCACAACCTACCCATATAGACTCAGAATCGTAAATATCTTCTTGTAGTTTCCAGACTTCTCTTAATTAATTTCTAACCCAAAAAAAAAAAAAAAACTTCCTAACTCCTTTCATGATTGAGTGTGTGTTGCAATAGGCTAGTTCACTCTTTGTGGGTTTATAGACAAGTCCGCCGTTAAGATACAAGAAAACAAACGGAATTTTTTTTCTGACTCTGATGGGTTTGGTCACATATTAAAAAACGACAAATTCGATATGACTCTAGTTTTTCCAGATCCGACCTAATAAAACTGGATAGAGATTAAATGTTCTACAAACTTTTTATAGTTCAGTACAAATTCCATAACATTATTCCCTATTTCTCCCATTCATAGATTACAACAAGAAGCTAGTTTTGATCGTTTTCATTGCTAGGAAATGAGGTGAAATTAGTTACCTACTTAATCACACTTTTCATCAAGTTTTTTTAGTAGCCACAAGTTTTATTTAACCTAATATGATTGGTTTCACGATGTCATATAAACCGAATATAATATACATGTAGAATGTTTTATCCACTTACTTTAAGATAATGAATTCATGACAACCAATTGTTATGCCGAATCAAACCTGAATAATTAACGCTAACGTCACTTTAAAAATTTAGGAAAAAAAAAGAAAAGAAAAAAAAGAAATACAAAGGAAGAAAGCAAAAAACACTGAACAAATCCGAATAATATGCTATAAATACAAAGAACCTCTCACCACTTGGTTCTTAGGAAAAAGCACATTCTCTTAAGTGTTTCTCTCCTCTCTATTCCTAACACATTTCTCTTATACATATACAAACACTAATTTCACAATTCTTTTCTAATCATCAAAACCTACAATAACTCCAAAACTTTTGATTTTTTTTTTGTTTGTCCCAAAATCAAAAACAAAAACAAAAAAATATTTGAGATGGGACTAAGGATGTCAGAATCAGCTAAACCTTACTTTGCAATGGTCTGCCTTCAGTTCGGATACGCAGGTATGAACTTAGTAACTAAAGCCGTCCTTGACCGTGGTATGAGCCATTACGTTCTTGTTGCATACCGCAACGCTTTTGCCACTGCCGCTATCGCACCCTTTGCTCTTCTCTCCGAAAGGTACATACATGCAATTTTTTTTCCTAGAGATATCGATTCTCTAAAACAATAATTTTTTTCATTATTATTTTTAGCGTTTTAGTAATATATACACTATGAATTGGCGATTTTTGCAGGAAAGTGAGGTCAAAAATGACGTTTCCAATATTCATGCGAATATTTCTTCTTGCTCTTCTCGGGTTAGTAGTTTAGTTGGACCATTGATGACATCTAGAGATTTTGTTTCAATTATATTCAAGGCTAGCTAACATAGAAGGGTTTGATTCTAACAGGCCAGTGATTGATCAAAACTTATACTACATCGGTCTGAAACTCACTTCACCTACGTTTTCCTCCGCCGTGAGCAACATCGTGCCTGCGCTTACCATCATCCTTGCCACTATCTTCAGGTACATACAAAAGCAACGTTTTTATTATTTAAGTTTAACCAAAGAAATTAAACAAATGTTTATAATATTATATTTTGGTACGTGGATATGCACCAAATCAAAAGTAATGTATAGTGCAATTAGTGCATGACGATGTCATAAAATTTATGAGATACTGATATATGTTTTGAATGTACATATTTTATTTTAAAGAATGGAGAAAGTGGAGATGAGGAAAGTAAGATGCCTAGTAAAAGTGATGGGTACTTTAGTGACAGTCGTTGGATCCATATTGATGATATTCTACAAAGGTCCTTTCATCAATATCTTCCGATCTCACCTCACCACCGTCTCTTCGCCGCCCACGACTGACTATCTTAAGGCCGCCGTCTTCCTACTAATCGCCTCCCTCTCATGGGCTTCGTTCTTCGTTCTTCAGGTATATATATATTAATATATACCAATTACTGATCCAGTCTTAAAATAAAATTTTATTGTGCATGCATTAGATTATAGATGTATTATTATAAACGCCCAAGTATTAAAAATAAAAACGTTTTAAATTATTGTAGGTATAAAAGGATTTTAAATTTTCATGTTATATATATATATATTTAATTGATTAGGTTAACTGTATCTGAAATAGTTAATAGTTATAAAAATATGCTTAACAGTAAAACTGAACATGATTCGAAAAATTCACTTTTTGTGTGACTTTTTTTTTTCATAGCTAAAAATTTTGATCTAACGAATTAGACTGACGTTATATTTATGTTAGGCTGCGACTTTGAAGCAATACTCAGCCCATCTCTCGTTATCAACAATGGTGTGTTTCATGGGAACGTTACAGTCTTTAGCCTTGACCTTCATAATGGAACACAATCCTTCTGCTTTGAACATCGGTTTTGACATGAACCTTCTCGCTTCAGCCTATGCGGTCCGTCCTTAATTTCATGCCACTTTTGCATACAACACAGATTATATTACAAAATACTGATACTTATAGGGTGATTTGGTAACGATTACAGGGAATAATGTCGTCGAGCATAGCTTACTACGTTCAAGGACTTATGATGCAGCGAAAAGGACCGGTATTTGTCACTGCTTTTAACCCTCTCGTCGTCGTCATTGTCTCCATCATGAGCTTCTTCGTTCTCGGCCAAGGAATTTACCTTGGAGGGTACGTTAACAACAACCGGTTTATTATGATACATACTCGGTTTAGTCTTGGCTTTTGTCATGTTTTGTTCATTAACTAAACCGGTATTTTTTTATTCAGGATTATTGGAGTGGTTGTTTTGACGGTGGGAGTATACGCCGTGTTATGGGGCAAACATGTCGATGATGACGGCGAAGAAACACACCATCAGGAAGATCATAATGTCTTAGAAGCCGTCAAGTGTTGTAGTGGCAATAATGGTCTAACGATAATGCCGAAAATAGACGAAGCTGATGAGGAGGATGTAGAAACCGGAAAAGTTGCGGCGGAGCCGGTTCCCGGAGTGGTCGTGTTGGTTTTTTGTAGTGAAAATGTGGATAAACGTTTCACGACCTGATTAGATGGGTTTTTTTTTTTTTTTAGAGGCAAAAATAGGGGGAGAAAGAAAGAGTAACTTGTTTTTTTTTTATACTAGTAAGTTTGAATTCATATCCCCTGCTTCAATAGTTTTCTATACTTTTTTTTTTTTTTTTATCTAATAGTTTTGGGTTTCTTATACTGTAACCAAGGATTCACTGTAACATCGATTTTGATCGTTGACTAAGCTATTATGTGTATTAACCCCGTGTGAAAACACCACAGCTTCTTCTTACATACAAAAGACAATGGGGAATGCACATTCTCTGTTTTTTCTTTTTTTTTGTTATACAGATAGTGTTTCTTTTTCACATGAGTAATAGTATTTCTATTTTATATAATAATGGGTCGAATAAACAACCACTCACTACGCACTGCTAAGTCTGTAAGTAACATAGACACAGTGTAGATAAATAATAGATATCGTAACAAAACAGTTCAACTTCTACCGATGGGTGATTCTACAACGAGGTAAGGCCTACTATACTGCTTAAAAACTATTCTTGGCCCAGAGCCCACTAATTGAGCCTCTATCCAGTATCCGTCATATTGAAGAAATATAACTAGTTGAGAATAAAGGTTCATCAAGACGTATAAATGGAGTTTTCAAATGTATGATATGTGTGCTACCGGTAGACTATGCAGGTTAAGTTAGATTCTGCAAAGTAGCATCTTGGTTTGATGTCTTGGTCTAACTAAGATCGAGTAGAATTAAGAACTCTCTCGTTCTTCATCTTCGTTGAATGTAATGAGAGATAGAAAAGTCTTAATAAACTTCCTCGTCTTTCCATCATATATATTTGGTACCAACCTTTAATAGTAAAATTAGTAAGCTTGGGGGTTCCGAATATGTAAAAAAATTCCATTCTGCTCAAAACAAAAACATACATTTTCAGTTTACTTATATATAAACTATTAAATTGGGAGAGGTTTGGCCGGCCATTTATAACCCAAAGAAAATAGGAACAAAAAAGAAGATTTACAGTATAATTCATCTACCTTAGTTAGAAATAATAACACCTACATACATCTTTTATTGAACCAAATACTGAATCATTGAACTCTCTCACCTATAACACATAAATAAAATCACATAAATTGAATAAAAATTTACATCTCACCAAACACACCCACCAACCCGTTTGGTCCCACTAACCCTATAACATACAAATTACAATACAATACCAACTCTCTTCATCTCCTATCTCTTTACAAGACTCTTAACTATTTTTTTTCTTTCTTTTCTTAACAACTGAATGATTCTTTAATAGTCTATTATATTATCTCAAACCGACATGATACATATTGAACTAAAAATTCCTTAATACGTAAATATTTGTCTTAGTTACTAAAAAGTCTTAAATTGAAGTCACTTCTATTAATAAGCGAGTCTCAAATAAAATTTTTAAAAATCATCTATATCGCACGAAGCAGCAATGTGTACGTGGTCTCCGACCACACACTTACGGCACCAACCATCTTCTCTATTTCATGTGGTAGCCGATGAAAAAGGGTGACGTGTTTCTCTCACCAACCCCAAAACTATACCCTCCCACACCTTCTCCACTCGCTCTCTCGTAACGTTTGAGACCAACAATTTTAATCAGCCAAATTTTGTATTAGAAAAAAAGAAGATAAAGTACATTATATATATAGAGACTACAACCTTTCAACAAGTCCAAAATAAATAGTCAAGTTCTCAATTCTTGATTCTAGCCCTTTTTTGCAAGAGCATCAACCATTGTATATATTTGCACTTCCCTACTGATGAACGTAAACTGGAAAGAGTCTCCTGCAAGTGCTGAGCTAGCATGCATGTCCTCCAAATTAAGTCCATGAGACTATAATTAAAATTTATTGGTTATTACCATCGATCGGATGCATATACGTACAGTGTAGTAGAATTAACAGTTTGTTCAAAAAAAAAGAAGTAGAATTAATAACATTTTTATTTTTGACGTTGCAACTTATATGTGTTTGTATAATTATCTTTTACTTTACGTTATCGGTTTCACTGCATGCGAACCAAAGTTTTGTGAATTGGCGCAAGTCATCGTTCCAACACGTACTCAAATAATTATCATATAATAAGCATTTTATTAGTAGCGGATGGAAGAAATGAAGATTATAGGAAAGATAATAAACTAATAGTGGTGGACTGGTGGAGATAATTAATACAATGTGAATAGTGATCTAGTCTTTGATATAGTTTAAGAAATGAAGATATGTGATAATTCAAAACATAATTTGAATGCTCTTCACTTTTAATAGTGAAATTGCAAATTAATTTACGTTATTGTCAACATATATATATATCAAATTCCGTATTTTCTTAAAAGCAGCGTTTCTTAGTTTGAAATTTGAACACTAATACAGTAATGCTCACGGGCGGATCTAGAAAATTTGTTCAATGGGGGCAAAAATATAGTAAAAATACTATCAAATACTAAATTATAAAAGACATAAAATTGTCATGTAAAAACTTTAAAACATATTACAAAACCACTCAGACGCTCATTTAACAATTGAAACCTTTTTACCACATTTTCATTTGTGACAGATTCAAATAATTAAAAACAAAAAAACATGTTATGAATTAAAAATTTAGAAAATTTTGAATTTATAGACTTATATTTTAAAATTTATTAATTTAAAATTTTTGAATTATGTAACAAACTTCCATAAAAGCTTAACCATAGAATAAACATATAAACAATTATCACTGCAAAAACTAATATAGTCATGTATAACATAAAAACCTATATAATGTTTTCCAGGAAACATAGTTATAAGTTTGAACTGATTAAATAAAATTAATTGACTAAAAAATAATGCCTATATAATAGAAACGATTGTAAAAAGAGCAGGAAAATAAACTCACAAATTGATAGTTGTTGATTTGTTGTCACACAAAAAAACCAAATGACTAAAGAAGAAGAAAATAACAAAAAGTTAGGTATAGATTAGTAAGTCTTTAATTTATATATTAATATATATTTTTTGGTACATGGATTAATGGACTTTCCAAGAAAAAAGATGAAAAGTAGTTTTTTTGGTGGGGACAGATTTTGTTTTCTAATAATATTTAATGATTTTTTAATATTTTTTTTTTTTGCTGGTGGCAGCTGCCCCCACCATCTTGGCTGTGGGTCCGCCCCTGGTAATGCTTAACATTAAACGAAAAAAAACTGCTCTATAACCTTTCACATTGTGTATATGGATTTGTAAAAAAAGCAAACAACTTCTCATAAGACTATTTTAGTTTAACACCCTAACAAATAAATCCAGGGTATGTGCAATGTTATAATATAAATAGAGTAACAAAAACAAAATAGGGGAAAAAGAATAAATAATTTACCAAGATGAAAAAGGATAGAAAAAGAGAGAGTAATTGAAAATTACAGAAATATATAATCAACTATAATCAAATTTAGGGAAGATTTATTAAAAAACACAGCAATATATTTGTATATGCACTATTCACCTAAATCTATGTAAAGGAAAAGCTTTTTGAAAACAAATCCAGCTCTAGTAAATGTGTTTTTTTTTTACCTCAACTGCCAAAGTAACTAAACCACAGTGAAATACAAAGTAATGATTTTTAAATTTCCTCGAGGGTGTATTATAATCAGTCAAAACCTCAAATTAAATTTAGTTATACACGTAATTAAGTTTTAGCAATTTTAATTAAAGTTAAATCCAAAGTGATTGTTTGATAACTTTGTCCACCAACTTCCCCCTACTTCATCATCAATAATATTATCCAAAAGTAATTGTTTGCTATATACGTATAAATTATATATGTTATATAACTTATATTATTATTTTTTAAAAAGGAAAAAAGGAAAAAGGTTGGTTCACCAACCCCCTCCCTAATATAAATCAAAGTCTCGACCACTCCTCCTATCTAGAATTCTACAAGTGAATTCGATTTTTACATTACTTTTTTTTTTTTTTTTGGTTTTGCCTTAAAATAATCGAGTTCATCATTTTATAAGAAAAAACAATAATAATAATATAAAGTCCATGTCGTGGTTTCTGATAGCGGCAGCGGCAATCGTCGCCGTCGTAGCTTACAAGCTGATCCAACGGCTGAGATTCAAGTTACCACCCGGTCCACGCCCCAAGCCGATCTTCGGTAACCTCTACGACATAAAACCGGTCCGGTTCAGATGTTACTACGAGTGGGCTCAATCATATGGACCAATCATATCGGTCTGGATCGGTTCGATTTTAAACGTCGTTGTATCTAGTGCGGAGCTAGCGAAAGAAGTCTTGAAAGAGCAAGACCAGAAACTCGCCGACCGGCACCGGAACAGATCCACGGAATCATTCAGCCGCGGCGGTCAGGATCTTATATGGGCGGATTACGGTCCTCACTACGTCAAGGTGAGAAAAGTTTGCACTCTTGAGCTCTTCACACCTAAACGACTCGAGTCTCTCAGACCTATCCGTGAAGATGAAGTCACCGCCATGGTCGAATCAGTCTTCAATGACTATAACCTTCCTGGTACGTATCGTTCTTTTCTTTTTTCAGGTCAATTTTTTTATATACATGAAAACATTATCTGCCATTAGAAGTTTATCCATAAAAAGTATCTCAAAAGAGGTAAAGAATAGAAGGGTATTTTGAATACGACTTGTGTCCGTCCAAATGCTCTGGCTAAGAAGATTCGATTTTATTCAAAATCGGTAAGAATAAAATTTTACTCAAAATCGTAATTTTTGTTCTTTGGAAACAACGAGATTTGATATCAAAGAGAGAAAAAAAGAGAGAGAGAGGTTGATGCTGCTAGATTTGTCTTTTAGTTCAAATTAAGGCAAGACAAGCCACGCGTTGCCTTTACTCTTTACTCTTCTTCTTTAGCGTCAGACATTTATTAATCTAGTAGATTGCACAGTACATATACTAAGATTTGACAAACATGTTTATGTCCTCTTTCAACGTCAAATTAATGTTTTTGTTCGACAAAGTCATAACCCATTCTAAAACTAGGTGGGGGTATTGAATGAGTGAACTAAAGAAAAGAATTTAACGAAAATTCATACCCATACTACCAATAGGCTGAGAGCATGTTATTTAGAGAAAGAAAACAGTGTGATGATTTTCTTATTTTTAAATACATGTTTGTTAGGAGATTAGCATAAATTTGGTGTATAATATTTGCAATTTTTTTTTAAAGATTTATGATTATTTAGCTCACTCAATAAAAGTTTATGTTAATTAATCCAAATGGTGAACAAAAACAAAATATATATATAGTCCAACTACCATAATGTTTTTGACTTAATAATTCTGACTTTATTATTCTCAGAAAACAGAACAAAAGGTTTACAGCTGAGGAAGTACTTAGGAGCGGTTGCGTTCAACAACATAACGCGACTAGCATTTGGGAAGCGTTTTATGGACGCGGAAGGTGTGGTGGACGAGCAAGGGCTTGAGTTCAAGGCCATAGTATCCAACGGTCTGAAGATAGGTGCTTCACTGTCGATAGCTGAACACATCGAGTGGCTCCGGTGGTTGTGTCCGGCCGATGAGAAGTCGTTTGCTGAGCATGGTGCTCGTCGCGACCGCCTCACGCGAGCAATCATGGAGGAGCACACTTTGGCCCGTGAAAAGTCTAGCGGAACGAAACAGCATTTCGTTGACGCGTTGCTTACTTTGAAAGATCAGTATGATCTTAGTGATGATACTATCATTGGCCTTCTTTGGGTGCGTTTTAGTGTTCGCAATAACCATTTTAGACCCTTGGATTTCTTGTGACTCACGTTTGGTAAATGGTGTGTGTTCGCAGGATATGATCACGGCAGGGATGGACACGACAGCGATTACAGCTGAATGGGGGATGGCTGAAATGATCAAGAATCCGGAAGTGCAACAAAAGGTGCAAGAAGAGTTTGACCGAGTGGTTGGACTTGATCGGATCTTAACTGAGCAAGATTTCTCCCGCTTACCTTACTTGCAATGTGTGGTGAAAGAGTCATTCAGGCTGCACCCTCCGACGCCTCTAATGCTCCCTCACCGTAGCAACGCAGACGTCAAGATCGGAGGCTACGACATTCCCAAAGGATCAAACGTCCATGTGAATGTTTGGGCGGTGGCTAGAGACCCCGCCGTATGGAAAGATCCATTGGAGTTTAGACCAGAGAGATTCTTGGAAGAAGATGTTGACATGAAGGGACATGACTTTAGGCTGCTTCCGTTTGGAGCAGGACGACGGGTTTGTCCCGGTGCACAACTTGGTATCAACTTGGTGACTTCGATGATGAGTCATTTGCTTCACCATTTTGTTTGGACACCGCCTCAAGGGACTAAACCGGAAGAGATTGATATGTCCGAAAACCCCGGACTCGTTACTTACATGCGTACCCCTGTTCAAGCGGTTGCAACGCCACGGTTGCCTTCGGACCTGTACAAACGCGTGCCTTACTATATGTAAAGATCTCTCTGATCTATCTTTAATTTGTTGCTGCTGCTCTTGATTGTTTTTGTAGACATATTTCTTTCTGGTGTACCATCGAAAACTTTTGGTGAAGATTGGTTGCGTCAATTGTTTCAAGTATAAGCAAAAAAACCATCTTCTTCTTTCACTAGGTTTACAATTTTGAATCGACTGGATGTTTTTTTTATGGGAAATATAGGAAGAACCAGGAAAGAAATTTGTAGGACATACGAACAAGTTTCTTGATTACATTAACTTCAGGTTTTGCCTATAGCATATCAGACACACACACACATTTGTAATCAAGTTATCTCAGACTATAATTATTTTCATAGCATTTGTAATCATAATATGCATCAGTCGTTTGTTTTTTTTTTTACCTTTGAACAAGTGAATTTCAAGAAGAGGTTTCCTTAAACTCTTGCAACTGTTTGAAGTTCATCCATGGCTTCACCCACACTTTGGCTTCGAAATTCTTCATCTGATCACCTTCTTTTGCTTCTAGGGTTAAGTGGTACATCGTTCCTGCAACTACCTGCTCTCTTGCTTTTACAATCTTCTTGAACTCAAGAATCTTGTTCTGTACTTGTCCGGAAAAAAAACACAAAAAACAAATCAGACAAAGATTCATAGGATCCATAATCAGATCGAAACAGAGGATTCAACAAAACCTGTTGTTTATTATGCTCTTGAATGGCAAATCGAGCAAGACTCTCGATCTCTCCACTGTTCTGATTTCCTCGGAAATCATGAACACCACCTAGCTTCATCGTTTCTGCTGTTCTTTTCTCTTCTGATCTGCAAATCGCTAATTGAATTGTGCCACAGAGAAGAAGGGTAACGATCCATAACGCCTTTGAATTCATATTTAAGGGAAACTTGTTATGATTCTTACCAATTCAGATTCACAAATTTTGGCCTTGTCGGTATCTTTACGTGTCTTGGCGCTTAAGGTATGAAAGTGACAAGTCAAGGAACCAATTACACGTGTCTTAACTTGAGCGGCTGAGCGTTCCCTTCGTTAAATGAAAAAGTTAAAAGTCAAAGAGATGAGAAATAACTAAAAACGGCAGGAAACGTGGGGATTACATTTATTTGAGAGCGTTTCAAACACATGAAAACGGTATGCATTCTACGAGGTTAAAGTTGAAACTGCGAAATTGGGGATCTCGTCGTCGGCATCACTCGATCGGCTTCTCTGTTCCTCCGGTGGAAAAAATGGCGATGGAAGTTGTTATGCCAAACACGTGCATCAGAGGATGTTGCAGCAGTGCATCTATTCCTCTTCATCTCTCTTCCTCCTCGTTCACTCTTCTCTCCCCCATCGCTAAAGGTACTGTTTCGTCTCTTCCCCAAACTTTTTCTCTCTTTCTTGTTCACTTCTTTCGATTGAATTCGATTTCTCTGGAGAACTCTTCAGGATCAGAGAGTGTGGTTTACGAAGCGATTCTCGACGGACGCAAAGTAGCAGCGAAGAAGCCTATATTGTCTACTTCCGATGACCTCGACAAGTTCCACAGGAATTTGCAGCTCTTATGGTCTCTATCTCTTGTTACATTTTAAATTTCTTAACTGAATACATTTGCAAAATGTTGATTTTTTGGATTTGGTAAAGCAATCTAGATCATCCGGGTGTGGCTAAGCTAGTGGCAGCTCACGCGAAGCCTCCCAATTACATGTTTTTCTTCGAGTTCTACGAGTCAGGGACCTTAGCTGACAAGTTACACGTCGAGGAGTGGTCACCGAGTATTGATCAAGTGTTAATGATCACGCTTCACTTGGGTATATGACTCTACTTGTCTCAAAGGAACGTTCTTTTTGGCCACTAATGTCTGACTTTGACGATTTCTTGTGATGGATCTTTCAATGGATACTTAATTTTATTATATGATTCTGGAGGTTTCTGCTTTTTCAGCTAAGGCATTGCAATATCTTCACAACAACGGAATTGTTCATAGAGATGTGAAACCAGCAAATATTCTTGTAATGCTCTTCTTCTATCATCTAGATTACCTATCTTCTTATGTGATTTTTCCATTAGAATAGGTACTTCTTCTCTGAGATTTTGTGTGAAGCTTAACTGAGCATTATTGATGCAGCTTGACGAGAGGTTTTCTCCATATCTGGCTGACTTTGGTTTAGCAGAATACAAGAAGAATTTGCTCGAAGTTAATCTGCAGAACTGGAGATCGTCTGGAAAGCCAACTGGTGGATTCCACAAAAAGAACATGGTCGGAACACTTATTTACATGGCCCCTGAAATACTAAGGAAAGAGATGTATACTGAGAAATCAGATATTTATAGCTTTGGGATTTTGATCAAGTAAGGATGATCTCTGTGTAGAAATTGTCAAGTTTCTTCCTAGTCTTTTCTTACATTCATATCTCCTTCGTATATTTTAATTTGTTTGGAGTATGTTTGCCTTTCTTTCCTGTAAGATTTCTTTGGTTATGAATTGTTATTCCATCTTACATTGCAGTGAGCTTTTAACTGGAGTTGTTCCATATACTGATCTTCGCGCAGAAGCTCAGGTAAAAATGTCTTTCCTCATTTTGCATTCTGACATGACCATCTCTGCCAGAACCCTTTATATACGATCTACTGTCTTTATTTTTGTATATCAGGCTCCTGAGTTGCATTCATTTTACTATTCTATATAGCTTAGACTTGGTGAGCGCAATTCTGAGGGTCATATAGTCAATTAAATTTAGATGTATACTTCAAGGACATATAAATGCATTCCTGTTCTTTTCATTCGTAACACATAATGTACCCTGTGAAAACCTGGATGGCAGGCTCACACTGTTTTAGAGATGAATTACACAGAACAGCAACTTACAGCTGCCATTGTGTCTTCTGGTCTCCGACCTGCTCTTGCTGAAAGTGGATTGCACGCCCCAAAGAGTTTATTGTCTTTGATACAAAAGTGTTGGGAAGCGGATCCTTCTAAGCGACCTTCTTTGGACAATGTGGTTTTGGAGCTAGAATCAATTTGGGAACAAGAGAGAGGAAAGCAAGGTCATCTCAGTGAGAATTTCTTTAATTCCCAGAGTGATACAGATGGGGACACCACTAAAACTTCTGGAGATTACAGAGAGACCATTAATTGGTCTAGTCAAGGGGAGTGTTTATCCAAGAAATCGTCTGTTTTCCATGTCTTTGATGTGAAATTATGGTCTAGTTCAACAGATGACCCTTCAAGATATGTACCTATTATTTCTTGTGGGGCTTTTGCAACATGTGGAAGAAGAGAATCCATGGAAGATACACACTTCCTCATGCCTCACATGTGTAGTGAGGAAAACATCCATTTATTTGCCATCTTTGATGGTCACAGAGGTATACCAACTGCCATTTTAACCGAGGAAATATTGAAATCAAAACTTTTGTGTGCCCTCTCTCTTTTTACTCCAGATCCGTTAGTTATCCATCATATGGTATATAAAATAGCATCCTGTTCGACATGCAGGTGCCGCAGCTGCTGAATTTTCTGCTCAAGTTTTGCCAGGACTAGTTCAAAGCCTATGTTCCACAAGGTTAATGCTCAGCTCAAGCTTTCCCTAATCTTCAGCATGGTTTTATCTAAATCCATTGGTATGTCTCATTTTCAGCGCTGGCGAGGCATTGTCACAAGCATTTGTTAAGACAGATTTAGCTTTCAGACAAGAACTTGATTCCCATCGGGAATCAAAAAGGGTGAGTCAGAAAGACTGGCATCCTGGTTGTACTGCTATAGCCTCTCTCCTAGTAGAGAATAAGCTTTTTGTTGCGAATGTTGGTGACTCCAGGGCAATTTTATGCCGCGCGGGCCACCCTTTTGCTCTGAGTAAGGTGAGATAAGACGACCATACTGAAAGTGTGCTAAGTTTATATTCTATTAATGTCCTCTTTACCACCTCCTGCGTAAATCAACTTCTGCAATGGTACTCAGGCACATCTTGCAACCTGTATTGATGAAAGGAATCGTGTGATTCGGGAAGGTGGGCATATTGAATGGTTGGTTGACACATGGAGAGTTGCTCCTGCTGGCCTTCAGGTTTGGTCGTTATTAGAATTCCTTAAAGGATAGCTGACCTTAGAGGAACATGATGTTGGTCTATTTTTTGAAAGTCAATTATTTCTGCTTTGTAATAGGTTACCCGGTCGATAGGAGATGATGACCTGAAGCCAGCTGTAACAGCAGAACCAGAGATTAGTGAGACAGTTCTATCAGCTGATGATGAGTTCTTGGTAATTGTATCTTACTTTCGTGTTATATATGTGAAACTTTGGCTGTTCTATTAGACGGTTGAGAAAAATAATAGGTTAAATGTGTTAGGTAATGGCGAGCGACGGGCTCTGGGATGTTTTGAACGATGAGGAAGTTATTGGTATAATCAGGGATACTGTAAAAGAACCTTCAATGTGTTCAAAGAGACTAGCAACCGAGGCTGCAGCACGTGGTAGTGCCGATAACATCACAGTCATTGTAATCTTTCTACGGCCAGTGTCTACAGCTGAAAGGATCTACTAGTAGCCAATTCTTGCATAGCATTATTCAACATGCAATTTCTTTACATATAATTAATTCCTCTATGTTAACAAAATTCCACATTCGGCACTGAAGCTTATGTTATTGCCCCACAGTATTATATTTGCACTCAACCAGAAAGTACATAGAACATGTAAAACTACAAGGAAACTTAACTTGAGTGTATATACTCCTGATTACATCAGTTACATTATAATGATTATTTTTTTGTATAAAAATATATGGTACTTAATGTTTCAGAATAACATGATACAGTAGGGGGTCAGAAAGAAGAAAAATAAGAAGTATTGGAGTGGACGGCTTACTCTGCTCGTCTCATAATCCATATGCTTTCTAAGGTATTAATAGTTAGCCTACAGCTTGCACTATGGTCATCTTGGCAGTAATGCACACTTGTACCTATATATAAACACCGGAAAGTTAACCTTATGAGATTTTATCTCTTTGGTTGTCGTTTGCCTGTCTTCTATTTATTGATTGCCTCAACTTCCGCAGGGGGATCTTTATCTTAGCATGGACCCTTTGCTCAGTGTGTCTTGCAAAAGTGTTTTGAAGCTCTCCAGGAACATATCCCATTCAACTGTTGTCATATCCACGAAAGAAACACCTTTTGAATCATCAAGGTTTGCACAAATCGGTGGGATCTTGCTCCTCACGTTGCAATTTTCTTGCTTGCCTCCTCTCTTCTTTTCTTTTGCACTTTTCTCATGATGAGTAGTCCACTGGTTTTGTGAAGACAACATCGAAGCAGTTACACTGGTAGGAATGGTGTTTGCACGTGGCCCTCTTGGGACCAAAGGTGGTTTAGATACATGAAATACCTCTGAAATCTCCGCTTCACATGGGGTATCTCCACCATCAAACATAAACATTCCACACTCTAGCTCCGTGTTCACTTCAATTCCTTCGTAACTATCGTCGCTGACTTTGCCAGTCTTGCCAAGAACACTTGCTTTCGCTTTGGTGCAGAGGGTCTCTAAAAGACTGAAACTCTCTTCACCCCTGGAGAAATCTCTAGTCATCTTCTCGCCTATCTCTGCGAGACAGAGCCCTGCAGCCGCAGCGTGTTTTAAGAAAACCGTGCAGACGATAAGGACCCTTATGGCAGATTCTGGCAAAGAGTGTAGTTCAGTTCTTAGAAGTTCTGCATCTTTGAAAGGGTCTAGATTGGATATGTACTGCAGCTCATCAGCAGTAAATGGAACCAAAGCTTGAGGCCAGTTTAGCCACTCAAAGTAAGGATCATCTAGGAATTCAGGGAGGCAGAGACCATGATCAATAGGCACAAGCTCAGCGGTCCCAAGTCGATTATAACACTCTTTTTTGTCACATCTCTTCACTAGCATATTTCCAGCATGTCTGTCAAGGTTCAGGACTCTTACATCAAGTATTCCAATCCTATGAACCGAGGTAACCGTGAAGCTTCCTGGACCCAATTCTCCCGCATCATAATCATGACCCACAAATCGCTGCAAGGAAGCGACCTTATAGGGCATGGAGGAGAAAGAGAAGGCGTCACTGACATGAAATGGGACATGTGAGATACTAACCAAAGCTGTTGGTGGAACACCAGAGAAGCCTTGGTAATCCAAAAGGTAAGCAGCTAATTCTCGGATACCCGTTTCACCAACAGGAATTGAATGTTTCATTCCCGGTTGCCCGAGCATCAAATTTCCAGACTTTTTAGGATTGTTAAAGGCCAAAGGCTCTTCATCAACCGGTTTAGCCACAGCAATGTTATGTCCTTTTCCAGTTTGCAAGAGATAAGCACCTCCCATGCCACTTGGTAAAAGCAAAGGCTGAGCTCCAGAAACCATAGCCATAGTCACCTCAGCCACAAGGGCACGAACCATGGGTACTCTCTGTCCACCAAGAATCTCAATCCGTGGAGCCGTGGTTGCTTTGAGATCTTCCTCCATATTAGCAGACGCAGCTATAGAGAAGCAAGGAGAGGAAACACTCCGATGGATGTTGTCATCTTCAACCGAATGATTAAAGGATTGCGCGAGGAAGTTGAAGTCAAGGTTGGTTAGGGATTGAAGTCTGCACCTTTGAGAGGATCGGTTGAAGTAAGGAAACTGGTCACTGAAAGGATCAATAGCCACGGCCATATCCGGGATCAATGTGGGCTTGCAGGTGATGATTATGGTCGTAGCCAAGCAATTCATGCCAAATCAAACTTTTGGCACTCCTATTTTATATTTACACAAACTCTAAATAAAAAAAATTTGTTTTTTTTTTTGTATTCAAAAACCTACAAATCAACTTGGATCTATATACAGCCACAAGATGGTGTGTCCTTTGCTTCGGTTGAATCCATTGTGCCCTTTAAGTATTCGCTCCTCCAACCATGAATCGCCGCAAAATTCTGCAAAACAGAAATAAGAAAGAAGATGGTTCACATGGAAGTCTTTTATTTATTAAAGAATCATCTAAGAAGAGAAGATAGCTTGCAGAAGAATCAAACGGACGAACCCTGAATACGGATGAAGGCATTCAGGTATAGAGACGGAGAAAGATTGAAAAACAGAGAGGAGCGTCAGAGAGACACCGACACTGTCACCGGAAAAAAATTCTGTCCTTTTTTTCCTGAGACTCCCCTCTTTCGAACGATACTTCTTTCTCCTTTCCTTTTTTTTTTTCTTTTTCTTGTTTCCTTTTTTTCTCTTTCTTCCCACCCTTTTCCTCTAAATCTATTTGTATTATTTTTGCTATAAATGTCTCTCTTCTTTCTTCTACGTTTCTGATTTTCCCGCGATTTTCGGTTGAGGACAAAATTAAGAGTTTTGCTAATTTGCTAAAAATAATCCACAAACAAAAGAAACTTAAAACGCTACGTTCTAAGGCCTAAGCTATGGCGTTTGTAACGAAAATTACGGATTTTATTTTGGACAGGAACAACAAATACAGAGTTTGATGTCATATGGACAATAAAGTTGAGAGCTTGTAAACAACATTAATAGCTAATAAACAACATTTGTGGTGTGGAACCAGATAGGAACTCATAATACTTATTGGTGCTTCATGGGTTTGGCTTTGTTGAACCATTGCCTATAACTTCTCCTTGGTTCTTGCTGTTTTCTTCACCAGCAGCATTAGCAGGAACAGATCTTCCACTGCTCGAAACAAGGTTCTTAATCGTTGATTTCAGGTCTGTGTCCTTCATTAGTGAGTCCAACGTCACGTGTACGCCTATATGCACCACAAAACAGTTCGCATCTCAATTTAAGCTACAAGGGACTGTAATAGTTTGGAGGGTTTCTATGTTAGTACTACTTACGGTATCTCCAGTAATGTTTAGGGTTCGTTGGATCATTGATCGTCTCCTCTGTTGCAGGACGATTAGTATAATCCTCTTTCAGAGCCATCATATCCTAATTGTGCCAGGGGAAAAACAAAAACCACAAATCGTTATTGTGCCTGATAAAAAGTTCTAATAAATTTGAGAAATCAGACTGGTGATGATTACCTGAAGAGGGAAAATAGCCCACATTGATGGAGCTTCAACATGTTGCCTCAGAACGAAATGAGTTATCTCTGGAACACACTGACTTGGAGGGATTTCATCTACACCAATCACTTCCTTGAAGTAATGTTGTCTTCTCTCTTCGTCCTCTTCCCACCAAGCCCGGAGCGTAGAGCAGTCATGGCATGATGGGGCACACACCTGAATTATGAAAGACATAATGCCATGGATCACTAACCATACATATTTTTCAGGCAATGAATGGGAGGAAGCTATATAAGTGAAGACAGGACTCTGAGTAAAATATATCTAACCGTCATATAACCATAATTAGATGGAATCCCAAACTTCACATCGGACTCACTCGGCATGCGCTGGATCCGAAGGCCAACCAACCCCAGTTCTTGCATAACCTGAGTAACTATTAATTTTAGCGTATGCTTCTACACAAGTTGTAAAAAGAAGTTAGATGAACCAAGAGCAAGGAAAACAGAGCACACATACAGGATGCACACAAGATGGAATGAGACCCAGGTCCTCCCCACAGGCCAGCATGTTAGATGAATTTAACAGAGCAGGCAAGGTTTTCAAAGCATTTTTCCTCCATAGATCCTCTTGGCGTTGGAAATAGTAGTCATAGTATAGTCTCTTCAGAACATTTTTGCTGTTTCAGAAAACCCTAGTCAGATTTTCCCCGATTAATGAAAAGTAGAAAAATACAGCACGATATAAGAGCAAAAGAGGATCTGTGTAAATGACTAAATGTTCATGAGCAGTATAAAATCAAAGAAACAAGAGAGACTTCTTGATTTAGGCAGTATACTACCATGTTTGGCAAAAGGTTTTGGAAATACCTGTGATCATCCAAATCCTGGAAGCTTGAAGTATCCTCAAGATTAAAGCGAGGATAGAATTTTCTTGCATCTTCTGGATCTTTGATCAGAACAACATTCTAGGAACACAAATTCAACAGAAATAAACAATAGCGAACAGTTGGCTCGAGAAAGGCATATATTGGACAGAGTCACTTTGTGGTGAACAAGGAAAAGAAATCTAGAAGCGCTTAAGATGCAAGTTTACCCGTAAAATGTCAAAGACATCACGACGAACTTTGTCCTCATTTTCTAGCAACAAAGACTTCTCAGCTAATGACTTCAGCTTTGCTGCAATCTTCTTCTCTGTGTTGCAGTCTTCCTTGAACTAGAGTAGAACGAAAGGAAACAAACAGGAAAGTTACCAAAACGTTTTGACAGAAGGAAGATAAGACTTGGTTTTCCAAAGGGTTATGGAATATATAATGTGGTTCTCCAAAGGAAAACGAACTCCAGATGAGGAATTTACTGACCTCATACAAATCCTTCTGAGTTTCATTTAGAAAGTTTGACGCAATAAAAGGCCAAAAATCTCCAAATTTCTCCTGAAGGACCAATGACATTAATCAACAGAAAGGTACGGATATATTATGAGGTAATGGCTGTAACTTGAAAACTTACAACTTGCTAAGCTGCGTAGAAAGCAGATCATAACAAGTGTAATAAAAAACTAACCTCAAGAAACTTCTTCTGCACATAGGGATTGGTTAATCGGTCAAAATCCCATATGCCCTCCTTTTCCAACTCTTCCTGCACCAGAAGCAGTTTTATCATTTCTTTTAGCTTTAAATTCATTCATTTGCAGCCATAAGCTTTTTAAAAGTAAATCTCAGAGCCAAGTTTTTTTTGAACAAGCATGTGGCTTGTGTACCTGACTTAACGGAATAGATGGACGGAACTTCCCCACCAAACCAGTCATAGCATGAGCTGGAAGCTCCCAGATTCTGAAGAATCCTAATATATGATCAATCCTATACGCTGTGAAATATTTTCCCATCTGCAAAGCAAGTATGAAATATTGTTAGCCTCCAGATCTTCAGAAGGCAGTAATTGGTAATGACACTAATGCAAACCTGTGTTAGGCGAGCACGCCACCAAGCATAGTTGTCTTTTGACATTTCCTCCCAGTTATAAGTAGGAAACCCCCAGTTTTGACCATTTTTGTCAAAATAGTCTGGGGGTGCTCCAGTTGACGTATTCATGCGAAATAGATTCCTGTAAACCCACGTATCAACACTGTTTCTGTCAACACCAATAGGTAGGTCTCCTTTCAGCACGACACCTCTCTTCCTTGCATACTCTGCTGCTTCTGACAACTTTTGAAAATGGAACAATCACACACTTTTAGATGAAACATCCACAAACCGACTTCACTTACAAAAATGGAATAGAAGTTGATGAAATACAGAACACACTCACTTGTACGTGTAAATGGTACTGAATGTAGTAGTGGAAGCATATGGTGTTATAGTGCAAGCTTTCCTTGGATATCAATTTTTCAAGCTGTAGCATTATGGTATTTGGAGATGTGAGAAATTACTGAAACTATCTAGATGATATACATCGGAAAGCTTGAAGTAATTCAATCACTAAACTTGAAAAAGATAATACCTTGTCTTCTGAGTAGTCAGAAAAAGTCCCCCATTGACTATGATCTGACGTCTCAAAAAAGTCACGGAGAAAGCAGAAAGCCGCATATGGTTTTAACCATCCCTTTCCAAGGTAGAAAACTCAGTAAGCCAAATGAAAAGCTTAAGCGAGCCTTTGAAGGCATAAGTATACAGGCGTAAGACAAAATCAGACTGAAGCATACCTCGTTCTCCGAGAAGAATTTCTGGAAAGAGCTTGAGTTCAACGTCTGGTCTTTCTCTAGGTCAAAGATCTTCTTGGCAATTGAGAGCTTAGTTTCCATGGTAGCCTCATAATCAACATCCTACAAGTAATAATCTTTGAAAGATCAAATTACACACGTACTCTGACAGTGACAAACTAACAAATGCTGATACAAACACAACTGTTTAAAAATACCATATTCACTTTCTCTGGTGCTATCTTTTTCAAGAATACAAGAGTCTCGAGTAAAAAAGACTGAAAAACTATGAAAGGTCTAACAAGGGACTGATTACCATCTTGTCCAGTTGCTTCTTTGCCTTCTGAATTTCTTCCTGAAAGTGAAAGGAAACGAAAAAGATCAGCTAATTTATTTCTTAAGAGACTGGTTCGCCCAGGCTACATTAAGTATACTAACTTACCTTGATACCTTCTGGCAAAAATTCAGAGAGAGCCTGTACTCTAAGATATAATGGATGCAATGCAAACACAGACAACGAGCTGCAAGAGAAGGAAAAATCCGAAAGATGAAAGAACAAAAAGAATGAATCAAACAGTTCAAAATTGATCTTCACCAGAGGCTCACGCTCAGACACTAATGATCAACCAAATATAGGGAACACAAGGTCCCAAAAAACAAATTAAGCAAAAAATGAACTTCTGGAACATTTTTATTCATAACTACAGTAGTCAAGAGAGAATAAGAACAGAACTTCTGGAATATTTGTTCCATCTGATAAGTGAGTGACAGCACCAACCCTTTATTGAACTTGTGCAAAACTAACATAGATGCAGTAATCATACCTGTAGGGATACGAGTCCCACCACATCTTATGCACGGATGTGTCATTTACTGGTAAAAGTTGTACTAGATGCAACCCGGAATCTACAGCCCAGTCAACCAGCAACTTCAGATCGAGAAATTCCCCCACACCAACATCATCTTCTGACCTAACAGAAAACATAGGAACTGCAACACCAGCACCCCTCCATGGCATTGCCTACACGTAAAATTAAATACTTTAAAGACAACACTGATTGTGTCACGTCAGGAGGTAGTTCATAGCTTCTCTCTGTTACTTACTCGAAACAACCCATCTGACATGACAATGTATTCCTGTTTACTACCGATGGAGTGAAGAGACAACTCCCGATTCCCACCAGATTCAAAACCTATGTTACCTTCCTTCTGCACTTTACAGTATCTATATGTGAAATAACAGTTAAGAACTCAGCACGAAGAAAGTATATCAAAAGTGAACAACAAATTCATCTGAAAGAGAATAAAGAAAGGATATTTGATAGGAAAGTCTGCTTTAGGGATCAAGCAGTCTGCTTCCCATATGGAATCATCGACATAGTTGAGTCTAAGTCCATTTTCAACTTTCCATTTCCCCAACTTTGCTGGGGTGCCTAGAACATATACCTGTACATACCACAATCAAGGACAAAAAATTATGGTTACCAGACTATACATCAGACTCAAACATGACAATAAGAAAAACCTTAAGATCTTCGAGAAAGGCTTACCAATGTTCCCTCTTTAATATCTGGACAACAGATTTTGAATTGAACAACAACTGAATCTATATACATGGTAAAGTCAAAGACCCCAAAAGTTAGCCAAGAGATCGATCACAAACTAGAGAATCTCAGAGACAATGGTGTGATAGATTCAAAAAGAAAATAGTACCATCTTGATCCGACTTATTCTCAAAGACCCCTAGAGGTTTTTCTACTTTCACTTCGAAATTGTGGTGGAATATAACATCTTTAAAGGCGCTTCTAAATGGAAGAGCTTGATCCCCAGTCTGAAATTATAGGAACAGAACATCTCAAGGAAAAATGATAAGCAACAAGAAACAATCATAACAGCCAACAAAGCATTTTCAAATTTCCCTAAAAATCAGATCACAAAACTTGTATAATCCGCTCGAGAAATGGCATAAAACCCAAACCTGCCAGAGGTCACGAAGCTGAACAGACTCTCCACCAGTCAATGTCTCAGGCACCACGAGTTTCCTCTTCATCCCAAACTCCGACCTTAGCACATTTTTCGAGTCATCCACCACGTAGTAACAATAGTCACAGCTAAACCCAGGTGGAACCGAGACAGAGCCACTCCAGATGAGCTGATCATCCTGCTGGGATGGCTTTAGCAGCAAACCTTTCTTCACATTCCCTGAACCAAGTCCAGGAGCCGAGCCACAGACCAGCAGGCTCTCTCCCCAGTGAGTGAAATACGGTATCGAGAAGCTAAGGCTAACCATAGGTTTACTCGACTTGCTAGTGCTCAACGAGAGCGATCCCAGATTCATCATTCTCTAAACAACAACAGCAAAAAGAAGAAGAAAAATCAAAACTTTAGCAAAACCCAAATCACAATCACATAATCCACTAACTTGGCCGACGGAGAGTAACTCAAGAAGCACAAATTAAAAGTAGAAAATCAACAAATCAGTAGCACGCAAGCCATTAGAGTAAATCGAAAAGCACGGAAGAGAGAGGTAGTGAAGTAAAGAAATTGGAAACTGATGATCACCTTTGCTTGTTCAAACCGTAAGTGAATCTACACACGAGTCTCGAGAGTCGAGAGTGAGGTGAAACTAAAAGTACTGTACTATATATGGGAACTAATGATTTCAGTTTGGTGTATTCATTATACGCAATCAAAAAAGTCTTTTTCTGGAAGATATTTTTTTGCTTTCGTTCAATCACTCTGCACCGTTAGTTTATCGAAGCACGAGCCTCCCTCTTCTCTTTTTCTTATTATTTTTAATAGTGACTAAGAAGAGGCAACAAGAAGATCACGAGATAGATCGCGCAAGAGTGTCCAGACATTTTCCTTCATTTATTTATCGATCTACTAAAAGAAAAATCTACTTCAACCAAACTAAAGTGACATACAGTATTTAACAAAGCATATAGAAAACGATGAATTTGTTTTACAGACACTGAAAATCTACAATTACAGTTTTCCATTATTTATATTGATAAAAGAGAGTGAGGGGGTGAGAGAGGGAAGCACAAGGAAGACGCAGAAACATAAGCATAGTGTAAGTTGAGAGAGGTCAAAGTGAGACCAAAAGATTTGTTTTTAGCTCTCACTTTTAGTAATCGAAAGGCCATCCACTGTATCCCATATATGATTGTTGATGTTGCTGTTGATGGTAGTTATGGTTCTCATCGGTTGTGTCCGAGTTTCTTGTGCCTCCACGGTTTTGAGTGGAGCTCGAGCTTGAACCCGATGAACGAAATGGCCACAAGGAAGAGAATGGATTCCTTCTTTCGTTGCCGTTCTCACGACTGCTACTAGAGCTATTACTACTACTATTTCTGTAGTTTCTTGTGGTGGTTCTGTTTTGACTGCTTGAAGGTCCTCTAGCTGATGGTAGCTCTTGGCGACAGACCGGGCATGAATTGTGCTGAACCAGCCACGGGACGATGCAGTCAGAATGATAGATGTGGTTACATGGCATCTGTTTTGCTTCTGATCCCAATTCAAATTCGTCTTTGCAAACAGGACAATTTGAGTCTGACGACCTAAGATGCCTCTGCGCGATCTTGATGGTTGGCAATGCATCTATTGATGATCTAGGTGCTGGTGGTGGACCTCGGCGAGTAGTGCCAGCTGAAAGCTGCTCGAACAATTCTTCAAGACCGGGACCAAAGAAGTAGTCACCAGTGTTACCACGTGTGATGCCAATGCCAGGTGAGCCGCCATTGAAGAGGGCTTCCACTGCATTGTCTCCAGATAGTCTATAAGGGACCTGACCACCAAAGATCAATAAAGGAGCCAGGCCAGGAAAGTTCTCAGGACCTGAACTGATGGTTCTTCCTCTGATTTCTCTGTCATGGTTTCTTTCGGCTAAGCGGTTCCTCATAAAGGCAGAAAACGCATCCATGAGATCAAAAGTTGGATCACGTTCTACAACATCCCTGTGAGCTCTAAACATATCAAATGGGCTGGTTTGAGCCATATCAAGTTCTTCAACAAATCCTCCTCCACAATAAGAACATACAGGCTCTTGGCCATGAAGCCGGACAGCACGCTGGCATCTGTGACACCAGTGGGTATTTCGACTGCTTGACATCCTTAGCTTCTCACTCTTCTATCCTTCTGTGAGCTCAAACAATACCACAAAAATGCAATCCTCTCCTGAAGCCCTTAGAAAAAGCTTTAGCTTATTTGCCAGGTCTCAGTCATAATCCTGCAAAAGAAAGTATAAGTTGATAATCACTTATTTACAGTCTTTCCAATTAGGAAAGCCAAAGACTACAGGAAAAATCGCGCTAAATGCACATTACAAGATTTAATTAAAGGTCATACTTCAGTAAATAGAGTAGAAAACTCTACAACATAGGTTGCAACTTCCACCTGTAAAGAATACCAAAATCCAGAGATGAAATTGAAGTGTTTGCTTCAACAATATATAGCCTAGGTTTGAATCTTCAAACTCTCATCAAAGCTAGAGCTTATACTAGTAGTTATAATACATATAACTTAATCACTAATGGTTAGGCACTAAAAAACTCCAGGAGCTAATTAACACACAAAGTTATAAACTTTGACGGAATATGCTTATAGACAATATAGGGCAACCCCAAAAAAGCTAAGACCAAATAATATGAAGTCAGCGAGTCTAGATGATTCAGTCATCTCGTCGTAGCTACAATTTCTAACTAAGACTATTTTCTCGAATGAGAGAAAGAATAAAGTCGGAATTTTCAGATGCTCATCATAACTATCAAGTTAAAGACGAAAAGACAATATCAAATATTGAAAATCACTAAAGAAAAGGGCCAAAAGGCTTCATAAAGCAGAGCTAAGCTAAGCAAGACGAAATTGAAGGCATAATTAAAAGCAAAAAAAGAGAATTGATTCAACGCAGTAGTGATCCAACACATAAACGAGAAAAATAATAATATCAGGGAAAACAAAACCTAAGATGCAGACTAAAAGACATGGATAAGTTTGGTTAAACGTCGAGCTGAAAGAAAGAAGAATACCTCGTCATTAAGAATTATGGATCTAAAGGAGAAAGGAACCCTAGCGATGAGGATTTGGGGGAAGAAGACGTACTACAAGAGTAACAACAACCACTACTACTCCGACTCTAGAAGAATCTCTCTCTCTCTCTCTCTCTCTCTCTCTCTCTCTCTCTCTCTCTCTATCTCCGTGTTACTTTCACAGTCTCTCTCTGCGAGCTCGCACTATGCCACGTGTTATCGACTAATGTATTTGAGTCTTTTTTTTAGTCAACCCAAAAGTCTTGCTCAGTTTTTATCAGTTACAAATATTATGGGCCTTGGGCTTATTATAACTTTTTCGGACAAAATATAGGACTCATTTCAGATGTGGCCTGTTAGGAGGTAGAAGCATGAGATGATCTGCCTTATGTTGGACAATGATAGGCCTTGATAACTTTAGGCTTTTGGTAAAGGATAAGAGCATTTCATACAACGTGAATCCAAATTAGATTACGATCAAGGAAGTAGATACATGTTTAGAATTGGTAATGGTGAAATGGCTTTATATAACAAAAAACCAAAAAGAAACAGCTCATGTTGTTCAGTTTGTCTCATGGATTGGACTCATTCGTAAACGTTATTTTCATTTCAGTTATACATAAACACGTATTGTATAAATCGTAGTATTAAACTATAAAATTAAAAAAAAAAAAAAAAAAAAAAGAGAGGTAACGAGAGATGGAGAACGGTTAATGTAAAACTGTATCAGACAACGACTTTAAACTACAGAGTAGAAGAAGTACTCCCCTTCACGTTCACCACAATCACATTGATTGATAGTTTCTCTTTTTGGTGAAAACATCATGTAGTTGTGTTCTGACCTTTCAACTGAGACGTTGGCATTTCAAGACAAAGATTCCACCAACTGTATTATCAAATTTATATATCACGACTCCGCTACTCTCTCTCAAACCCATACATCTTTCCTAAATTTCTTCAATTTTACTAGTCATGAGAACAGCAGGGCACGAACGAAAATGGCTTTTACAGAGTTGGCTACGTGCGTTTATATTACTAAGTTAAATAAAATAGACTTTGCTTATCATTTTGGTCGTCTGTGGTTGTGTATATACGTATATGCAGATTGGTTTTTGTTTTCTTCCAGTTCCACATAAGAGACCATGTATTATACTATTGTTAGTCTAACTTCAGTGGATTTAAATTTCAAAGAGTATATTTTTTATATATAACATGGCAGCTGCGTTTATCATACATATGATTATGATTTGATATTATATATCTTGATTACATACTTGACAGAACTAATATGTCGTTTATCAAATTTGATTTCATTTTCTTTTCAACTGAGATTGACAGTTTTATATATAAAGCAATAGTTAATTTGATAGACCTTTTTTGGTACCATCTGTAAACTTATTGATGATCAAACTATATATATATATATATATATATATGATTCTGCATGCATGATGTGGATTTTGGTATATGATGCATATAGTATTCATCGTAACCTACGTACTGGCACGAATCATTTCATTTGCTATACAAATTTTTTGGAATGATCAAAATATAAATGAACCGTTGGAGTCAACAACTACTTCGACCCCATCATCTTTATGCACACACTTGGACAATACATTGATTTTGATTATAAAGATTACAAAAGAAAGTTTGGTACGTTGCAACTATCCATTTAAATCAAACATAAAGGGGTTACCTTTTTTCCTATCATAAAAACAATTATTTAAAGTCTCTTTTTCTCAACCTACCAAGTGATAGATTCCATGGATAAGAAAATGTAAGAATGATAATTATAGAATCAATACAATACATGCATGTTCTATAATTCCAATTCCCTTTATCAATAATTGTGCTACCTTCAATCCAAAAATAATAATAATACTATATTTGGTATCTAGCATTTTGTCTATGTTTACCAACCATAGTCGAATATATATCATGTAAATCATATATCCAAAAAAAAATAAAAATCAACGTAGTAAATTATTTGGTCAATAATTCAATAATTGAATATATTATTCTTAATTTTATTGTCATCAGCAAATATATTTTTATATGTCTATTCAGTATTCATAACATTATTATTTTCTTCAAAATGTAAATGGAAGGCTTTTCCTTAAACGGCTATCAAAATTGGTGGCTATTACACTAGCTTAAATATAATATTAAGAGACAAAAGTGGTGGGATTAAAGGTTTATTGTCATAAACAAGAGAAAAAGGACATAATGAATCATGAATTCATGATCAGTATTTTTAAAAAATAAAATGAAAGAGATGGGTTATGAAAGATTGAGGATAATTAGTTTTAGATAAACACGAAAAGAAAACAAAATTATTCTTTGCTTAAACCTTTTATACAAAGTGGGGACTAAAACGAAATGGTCGTTAAAGAATCATAATTACATCCAACAAACACAATTAAACCACGGCGCGTAGTGTTTTAAAGAGAGAGAGCGCGCGTCGTCACTTTCCAGCAAACAAGAGGCGGACCAGACTGTGTCGAATTATAAAACGTTTCTTTTCTTTTTTATTTCTTCTTCTTCTTCTCTTTAACGATGATGATGGCGTGAAAGAAAGAAAGAGAAAAGAGAAGAGAAATGATGATCAGTCAAGCTAGCTGTTTTTGGGAAGAGAGACTAAAGAATCAGAAGACCAGAGGTCTGTGTCTGTGTCTCTCTCTCCCCCTCTCTTTACTTCTGCATCTTTGGAGCGTTGCTTCTATCTTGACGCTTTTTTCACAAAACTTTCAAGACTTACTACTTAAAGACACTTCTCTGTTTTTCTTTCTTCTTTCTCTCTGTTTCTGTGGCTGGCTTATGTAAGAACAAGTGTTTTTTTGAAACAATGTTTGTAGTATCGATTCTTGTTTTGCATTTTGCATGAGTTAGATCATTCTTGCATCTCTAATCTAATATGACAAATTATTTTCTATCATCTGTTCATGGTTCTTGCATCTTTTTATAATCCATTGAGCTAAAATTGATCTGAAATTAAGTTATCATCTAGTTTAAGATTAGTGCAAGTTCCATTTATAGATTTTTTTCTTGGCTGCAAGCATTTGCTGGGTTTAACAGTGATTTCTTGAACGTTTCTTTTAATAATAAGAAATAAAAAGACAAAACAAAAAAATCAATAGTTGCAGTCACGAGAATGCTTGGTTTTCAGAATTGATGATTATAAGAAGACATGTTAGTTTAATTGTTCTTTGTTCTTTTTGTAAGCAGACAAGATCGTGACAATGACTAAACTATATCCCAAAAAGACTGAAGAAAAGAGAGTTGTGAACTCTGAAGAAGAAGCATTTGTTGAACCGATTTCAGCAGATGTGAGCTTTGCTTCTAATCATTTCCCATCATACAAGCTAGGACCTGACGATCAGATTGTTGATGAACCTGAGGAAGATCAAAAAGCTCCATCTGTGAAAGATGTAGTTGATAAGGAGACCGGAGATTTGTCAGATCAGCACAAGCAGCTTTCAGTTCGTGACCTCGCTTGCAAATTCGACAAGAATCTAGCTGCAGCTTCTAAATTAGTTGACGAGGTGTCCACTCTATGTGTCTGTGTTTTTAGTCTTTAGATGAATGGTCTAAAAAAAAAACAGAATACCAGATGATTAACATATTCTGCTTCTTTGGTGGAATGTTTAGGCAAAGTTGAATGAGGTGACTTCTTTGGAAGGACATGTTATGCTAAAGAAACTTAGGGATGCTTTAGAAACCGTGAGAGGTCGAATGGATGGGCGTAACAGGGAAGAAGTGGAAAAAGCTATCTCCATGGTTAGCTTCTGTTACCTACAGTTTGTTTGCACTGTCTTGCTACCGTATCCACTTCTTTGGGGACTTGAATCAACTGTGAAGGGTGTAAATATATTTTGTATGTGTCTTGCAGGTTGAGGCACTAGCCGTAAAGTTAACTCAGAATGAAGGTGAGTTAATACAAGATAAGTTTGAAGTGAAGAAACTGGCAAGCTTCCTCAAGAAGGTCTGTTCCACTGCGTTGTACTTTTTTTGCTTTTCATAAACATACATCTAAAAATATTGCTAGACATTTGTGGACTCAAGTCTCTTCTAGCTTGGTCACTTCCTTTAACACTCAAAGTAAGCATTGTGTTTTCAGGCTTCAGAAGATGCAAAGAAGTTAGTAAACCAAGAAAAGTCATTTGCTTGTGCTGAAATAGATAGTGCACGGGCTCTTGTGATGAGACTTGGAGGAACATTTCAAGAACAAGAGCTTTGTTCTAAAGCTTCCCGAGATCAGGGACCGGTATGTATCAGTAATCCTTTACATATGTTCTGTTTTGGCATAGAAGGAGAACGGTTCTGAATCAAACTTATGATCTGTCTCACAGAATGTGGAGAAATTGGTTGAGGAGGTTCAGGAGGCTAGACGAATCAAACAGATGCATAAACCAACCAAGGTTCAACTCCATTTCTCTGCTCTAAATAAATGTCTATTATTTATTAGTCATCTTTCTGACTATAGAATCCAAATGTTCAAATTACTTCATGATTTTGATGGGCGACATCTTAAGATATAAACTGAATGCTTTATAATGTAGGTTCTCGGTATGCAACATGAGCTTTATGATTTAAAGAGTCAAATCCGAGAGAAGTCTGCATATTCCGTGAAAATTCAAAGAGAGGTATATTTTGTGTGTTGCATACTTCTTGTTATTTCTTTATTATCAACAAACCTGTTTTTCTCTAAAAAAACCAAAAAATGTTGATAGATAGCAATAATCAAGAGAGCCGAGGGGTCCAAGTCTTGTCCATATGTTCTGGATGGTGCACAAAGTCTTGGCTCATGCCTAAGAATCCGTGCCTCCCCAGACAATGGTGTAGATATTTCCAAATGTTCAATCCAGTGGTACCGTGCAGCATCTGAGTCTAGTCGAAGAGAAGCTATATCTGGTACTTGGCATTCTCTCTTTGCTATGTAAATAGTTAAATATTAAAGATTCATTCACATATTTGGCGAATTCTTATCATGTATTATCAAGTTTGGTATTTATGAGGGTCCGTTGTAGTAACTTATAGCTTTTAGCTTGAACTGTTCACATTTTTCAAATCTCAGGTGCCAATTGGTCGGTGTATGCTCCAGAACCATTCGATGTCGGGCGAGTAATACAAGCAGATATTCTTTCAAACGGCCAGAAATTCACAGTTACAACCGATGGTCCAATTAATACTGGTTGGTGTTACGAGAACTAGTTTGCTATTATTAAGAAATGAAGTATTACGAATGGCTAATTGAATGACAATATCTACAGCTTCTGGCTTGCAGTCACGCGTTGAATCACTCCTGCGCAAATCTAACAGTGAATTCACTGTATGTTTACAACTTTCCTTTTCTACATGGAAGAATATATAATATTGCATGAAACAGTTCTTAATTAGTTCTTGCTCTAATATATCTAGACATCTTGAACTTCTCCTCAGGTGGTTATATCACAGATGAATGGACAAGACCATGCATCAAGATCCCATGTATTTACTGTTGGAAAGGCGAGGATAAAGCTGTCCCGAGGATGGATCACAAAGGCCAGAGAAATATATTCAACATCCATGCAGGTAATCTAGAGCCTGTGATAGTGTTGCTTTATTCACTCCCTTTGCTCTTCCTGTTAGCTTTATTGAAGTTTCTTCCTTTCAAGTTTAAATGGTTTGGTAACATTTCAGCTCTGTGGAGTGAGAGGCAATGCTAATGCTCCTGCAAAGGCATTGTTCTGGCAACTAAGAAAGGGCTCAACTTTCTTGCTAACTTTCGAGTCAGAGCAAGAACGTAATGTAGCCATTGTTCTTGCCCGTAAATACGCAGATGATTGCAATGTGAGTAAAACTTCCCAGAATAATAATCCATTTTTCGTTTACCGGTTCTGTCTTCTCTTGTTTTGCGTTTCCCTTTTAAAATGAAGTTACTCCATTAGATAGTTCTGGTGTGAGGCAACCATTTTGAATCAATTTCACACCCTGCAGGTCACTCTGGTTGGACCAGATGATTGATGGAAAATGAAAGAATTAACCTTGGTCAACATCGACTGCTATGTGTCCGTCCGTGTGGTTGAAAGAAGAAACACAGTGTTGCTGCATAGTTTTAGGCAGAAAACACAATTTTGTGTTATTGGCATGATCACTATGATTGTGGTGGTTGGCTTTCTTTCTGATTTGATTTTTTTGGTTTGTTTGTTTGATTGGTTTAGTTTTGTTTGGTCCCAGCTTTTTGCCACTTAGATTTTTTTTTTTTTTTTTTTTTTTGGAGTGTGATGAGATTGTTAATCCAAGATTTGTTTGTATGTAATAACAGAACAGTGTTTCATTCAGTACTACAATCTACTTTTCATTCTTAATTTACTGTTAATAAACTTGAGGGATAAATTCTTTTAATAAAATTGGGATATCTCATGTATTTAACTTTGCATTATCTGACGATGCAGAATTATCCAAATGTCAATAGAAAGAAACTTGTATGGTGTTTTGGACATAAATTATGGATACTTTTTGGTCCTAGAAAAAAAGAATTGATACTTTAAGCAAAGCCAAACTTTTAACATATAGAAGAAAGATGATCATTTCCGACCATAGTTGTCCGAAGTTTTTTTGTTTCTCTTTTGCTCTCTCTGTTTCACACTTCAGTCCATCGTCAAAACAAGATTCAAAGTTCCAAACTTTTGTTTCTGTCGTAAGTCCGAATCCAAAATCAATGGGGAAAATGCTCGTTGAAATCTGTTTGATATCAGCTCGAGGGCTCCGTGTGGGAATCGGAATCGGATCCTCTCTACTGAAACATCAGTGGTACGCTGTTGGGTGGCTTAATCCAGAAGACAAGTACTGCACTGCAATCGATGCTTCGAGATCAGACAATCCTGTTTGGAGAACAAAGTTTGCTACTTTACTCGATGACTCCGCGATTCAAGATTCCAAGTCGGTTTTGCACGTCGAGGTTTATAGCAGAGAGCCCTTATTCTTGAGGAAGAGGCTTCATGGCTCTGCTACTGTTTCCCTGAAGGAGTTTCTGACCAAGTATAAGCAACAACAGGGGTCTTCGAAAGCTGTAATTGAAGAAACTGGAAGCTATCAGCTCAGGAAGCAGAACTCGAGCAAGCCTCAAGGTTTTATTGATGTTTCCATCCGTATATCTGCAGAGCAAGAAGACTTTGGGGTTTTTACAGGTAATGTCTCCTAATCATAATACTGTAGTGGAATCAATCAATCTGCTTTTGTTTTGTACTTCTTTGGTTTTGTTTGCTGTAACTCAAATTCTTGTAGAACCTGACACTTGGTAGTTGGTATCCCGAAGATCCCATTTTCTGTCTTAAGTCTTAACGTTTCAAGATGGGTTTGTCTGGAAAAGAGAACTCATGGATGTTTCTTCTGTTCTATTGCGCAGGGGATTTTGGAGGAGTCATGCTCTCGAACAACTCCGATTACAACACTTCAGGACAAGATTACATGGCTGGTTCATCGCAGCAACCATTTGCTCCATTGAACCAGCCAAACAATTCGAACCCATTCTCAGATCCACCATATAGCCAGTACTCATCAATGCCTAACCCTCCTATGAACAACACCAACCCACAAATGCAACAACCTTACTATCCTCCACCAATGCAGCCACCACCACCAATGAACTCAGGGTACATGCCAACATACATCCCAAAATCAGAGAATGTTACTAACATACCATCATCGTCATCATCTGGAGGTGCACCAGGTGGAGCAGGAAGAGGATATGCAAGGCCTGGGCCAGGGTTTGCTGCAGGATTGGGAGCTGGTGCAGTAGTTGGAGCTGGTGCAAGTTTGTATGGGGGCGGGTATATGTCAGGATTGGACATACCTTCGACCTTACCTCACCCAAGTGGTTCCATTTCCATCGATCCTCCATTTTGATGCAGAAACTGTTTGTTTCAATGGCTGCATTGTGAGATTACCTAAAACACTGTAGATTGTTCGTATATGATATGATGAGATCTCAGATCCATGAAACATATAAATTTGGAGGCCTTTGGTTTCCCAGGAATTCAATGAAACTGTTTTTTTTCCGTTGTTATTACTCTTTGTGTGATGTTATTAGAAAATATACATAACAGTGTTTAGAATCAAACTGTTGCGGATGAATCTTGCTATGTAGATATGTACATCGTCCCAATCAATATGCAGGTCCTTCACTCGAAATAGCAATATGCAAGAATGCAATATTATGCACTCTCACTAAATCTATTTACATAGACATGATTATGTACAGAGGCTTAGAGGAGTGACGGGAGTATGAATCTGACTTATTCTGTGCGGTTATCCGTCTTTAGAAAGTGGAAGTATTCTAGCTGTCCCATCTCTCCCCCGTTCACCGGATCAAAGCTGCATCTGTAGAAACTGCGAGCCCATGAAAACACGAGTGAGCACTAAGCAGAGATCTGAGGGTGATTTTCATGTATGCACAACTAGTGAATTGGTGGTGGTGAGAGAACAGCAAATTTGATATATTCTCAGAGACATCAGAATGGGTTATTATACCTTCCATCCATTCCGATAATAGCAACCGTGTTGTGACTGCCAAATGCTGCGAAGAATTGTGTGACTTCTGATACATGGAACTGTGCATATGACCATTCCGAGCTGAAATACTTTGGCAGAACACCTGCAACAAGAGTCTACATGTTAGGTAAGAAGGAGGGAATGAATTGTAAGGTTTTACAGTAGCAGTCCAAAAACTAGTCCTCCAAACTCTATATGAACGGGAGAGATATTCAATTTTTGCTTACCTCTCATAAACGACAATGACGAACCAGGATTGGTACCAGTCGTTGGAGAAACAAGGCCTTGCAGAGAATTAGAATAAGTTTGTTGTGTCAGGAGAGCATTATTTTCAGTGGAATAAGAATCCTCCCCAACTACCCTAACTCTAAGAGAGAAAATGTGAACAGTCCCCTTGTCGCTTGATACTGCCAGCCATTGCACATTTGGTGAAAGTGCAATACTATAGATATCTGCTCTGTCCACTCCTCTTCGTACCTGTAAAGAAGCAGCATTGGATTGTGCATGCATTAGTAACGAGCATCAAAGTGACATCTGCTTTGTAATTAAATTCTATTAACCAGTTTCATTAACAGAGGAATGGGGCTTCACTTATGCAAACTTTTAAACAAAAAAAAGCCATAAAGCAGGTTTGTCAGTAACTCATAAGTCAGAAAAGGTATTTGTTCACCATCTGATTTTGACACTGTTCTCTTGATCTATGAGATTGCAAAACAAATGATGTAGTGATCAATATGATATATAAGTCAATGCATTCAGAAAGGAGAAATGAGTATTCATACTCACCTCTTGCAAACGAGTTCCGTCCATGGTATTGAAGATTCTAATCAGTGTGCCCTTTGTACTGGCAGTTGCGAGCAACAAACCATCCAATGTCAAGGTCATGCACGCAATACTGGAATCATGAGCATTTATGATTTGCACCATGTTAAGCCCAAAATGTTCAACTCGAATCTCTCCTCGATGAAGACCAGGGCAAGCCAGCACAGATGTATTAGAATGATGAGAAAGGCAACATAATCCTCTTGGATTTGCTTGAGTTTCAATCTGATGAAGAAGTCTTAGGTCCATAAAATTGTAAACATATATCTTATGTTCAAGAACAACAACAATCCGATCCCTTCTTAGTTTCACTGAGCGAATTTCAGACCTAAATGAAAACTCACTTATGCAACGGCTCTGATGATCATCCCAAATTAGAACTTTGTTTGAAGGGTACTGAGAGTTAGGTCCACCACCAACAAGCGCCAATATATTGCTTCGGAAAAGCATCTCTACAATTTTAAACCCCCCATTCTTCAGCTCACGCCTGAAAGTTTCCTTGAAAGGTTCACAGTTATATATACGGAAACCATGACTTGTTCCAGCAGCAAAACAACTGGAATCCTGGTTCCAAGACACAGAGACCAAACCAGCTTCCTCGTTTTCATTAGATTCTGATTCTGGAACCCCAAAAGAGCCAGAAGTGCTGTTAGTGCGAGGGTCATGGCTACCATAACCACCTGGTTGCAGGATTCCTTGGGAATTTGAAACAGTTGAACTCATTTTTTCCGAGCAGTTGAGCTATTTTATACCAAAACCAATAACCACGAAAGCTAAGCAGAGGTTACCCCTGCAAGATCAAGATACACCCAGCAGAAAAGCTTAAGACTGATCAATCCCAGGAAAACGAACGACTGGACCTGAAAGATGGTAAATGTAAAATTTTTAAGTAACGCTAATACATAGCTCCAATTATCCAAACCAAAACCATAGCAAATACAATGCAGCAACGAAAGATTCAGGCATACTTATAACACATAATCAATAGGATCATCAAATTGTTTTCACATAATTTGATAGCCTGCCATGTTCACATTCGCTATAGTCAACTATATCATAATAAGAGCTCCAAAAAGCAGCTCATGTAGGAGCTATAAAGTGATGATTCCACCATGATCGCACCACATTAACCTGGAAATTCTATTTTGCAGTGCTTACTCCTAAAAAAAAAAAAAGTGAATTCGAAATTCGTACACAATACATCAACATTCACAAACACTACCGCATACGAGCTCATATCCAGATCAAACAATTAACAGCAAAACTGAAAGTAGGATAAATAAAAACACATACGCGATCCTTGAATCAAAACATTAGCAAAAAGGAGAGAGAGACGAATCCTCACCAATCGCAAAACGAATCAACGCGACGAGTAGTAACACGAGATCTACGATGAAATATTTTTGCTTATTGAATCTCCAAGCTTCAATCTCAGCGACGAACACGCTCCAGAGCTCTGCAGCTGATTTTTCCTCTATACCGGTAAGTTTATCTTTCTCCAAATTCAATTCTCCGGTTTTTTTTTTTTGGGATTTATTTATTTAGTCGGTTAACAAACAACAACAAAAAAAAACAATAATGGGCTAAATTTATTGTCCAAGTGGGCCGCCAGCTATTGGCTTTCTTCAGTTTTACCATCCTCTAAAGTTCACGTGTCTACAGCCGTATTTTACAAAAACAAAACTCGTGTCGTTTTCATTTGGGTGATGAAGGCGTCGTGCCGTTTTTCGAATAGTAACTAGGTAAATATAGGAATACCAAAAATGGAATATTCACTTTGGAGACAAACCGATCCATATTTGGAAAAAAGTGATTTGGCTATGAGATTAGTGAGAGCCCCAATAACACTCGCTCACTTTGTTCAATGTGGACAACATAACTTAAAGAAAGATAAAAAACCACAGTCTCCGAGAGAAGGAGACATTGGACCAATTATCACTTGATTCTGTTTTGAATTAAAGTTGAAATTGATCTCATTTAGTAACTATATATAGTACATTACTACTATTATCTCTTGGATTGTTTATGTTATATGTTTTTTATATAGTTGCAAATTTACTAATTACTAAATTAGCAACTTGTTGACAAACCTCGACTTTTTCAAGTACAGTACAGCTTGTGTTTTCATGGTATCATCAGTTAGAATTATTTGTCTTGTATTCTTATTTTCATTGTCGCTAATGAACCCCCTAATCTTTACTTAATGTTTTAGTTCATTGTCTATTTATGTTTCTATTTCTACTTTCTCTCAAAATTCGCATATTAACTTCATATGTATATTGCAATATAGTTTGTAAAGTTTATATTGTGATAAATTATCTGAAAAACATATATAAACTTCTTACAAGGATAATAACTAGCTAGTACTTTTCGGAGACCACTCACCAAGAATTTGGGAAAATTACATGCAGAAACGTGATGGGTTTCAGGAAATTTATAGGGAAAGTGAAAACCATTGTACGTAAAAAGATGAAACATTTTGTCGGTAACCACCGGCCTGACCTAAGATAATTTATAAACCCTAGTTCATTTATATTGTTTATTTTTTTATTACTTCGAACAAATAATGTATTGTATGCTTTTCCTATTTAATATAGTACTAATTAGTACTTTGATCACATGATAATAATTTTTTCCATATATATCCACTTGCTACGTTTCCATATATATCTGCATTATTGCAGGCAAATACATGTACCACACAAAATATACCTTTGAGATCACGCACGGGTCGATACTTTTTTTTTTCTATGATTGCTTAGTTATAATAATATAAATCCAAATGGTTGCAAATTTTATATTCTACTATCGGATTTAATAATATATATATTATATGATGTAACGACTCGACCGATATCCACATAATTACTCTAATATATTTTGGCATAATCGGTTCTATGCGTACGTACTGTTCAGATAAATTAAAAACTCAAGAAATCTGTAGTCCAGTACTGTATATAATTACAAAACGTGAACACTTTGAAAGAAACACACAACAAAATATTAATTTCAAAATGTAAATATATCGTTTTCTAATCAAATTAAGGACTATGTAAAAGTGGTGAACCATGCATGGCCCCATTTCCAAACATCGGTAATATACAAAAATAACAATTAACAAGTACAAAAATCATACTTATATTTTGCAAAATACGAATGAGGCATACAATAGTACGATACAAATTAAGATACTATATATATTATACCTCTTAGTTAAGCCATCAAATAATATGGGGAGGAAAAGTATATTGTAGACATGTTACTTCATTGTCTAAACACAATTAAGATCTGCCTAAGAGTGGATATACATATCGTTCAAAAAAATGCTTTTACTTTTTAAGTTTTAAATATGACTATAAATTTACCTTTACTGCAACCCTAGTGATTAGTGGCTAGACTGATCTCAAGCACGTGGACACGGCTCAAGTCCTGAAGCATATGTTCATATACGATCTTTGGATTCATTTGAGATATATATGTCTCAACGGCGTAGAAAAAAAAAGCAAATCCAAAATCAGTTGGAATCAATACGTGTCTAGATGCAAATCTATATATAATAACAGAGATCATGATGAGAAAAATTGTAGAAAAAGAAGGAGCTCCCTTCAGTCCAAACACAGATAAAGAAGGATCAAAAATATCTCCCGCATCATTCACACAGTCACTGCGGTTTAAAATCTATCTTTTTTCTACCACGAGTGTTTGGATGGATGAGTCGGCAGATATTTCTACCCTCTTCTTTGTCTATCCATGACTGGACTGAAAGAATCTCCTTCTGTATCTATCTGTTTTAGTTTGATCTCCATTCATATAATATTATACACTTTTGAAACAATGAAGGGCCACACTTATTTAAAGTAAGTTGTGTTCAGTTGATTCTACAGAAGGTTACATAGGCATGGGATATAGTTTCAAACACATGCACTTATTGCTTTTATATATAATGGGCCATCAACGTAACAACAAGACAAATGTGACCAAGACAACTTCCTATGTACTTATGTGAACATTTACTTTGAAATGTCATTGCATGTACTTATATATATATATGCATCAGTAGTGAATTAGAATGTCGACTAATTTAGCAGGTATTAATATATCTATATATGTATATTTAGTATATACGAACTAAAACTTACAAGGGTTTGGAAGCCGAGTGTGATTTATCATAAAGAAGCAAGCTTTACTGTAGAAGTAAAAGACCACTGATGGGTCTTATCAAGAAGAGGCTACCAAGAGAGAGAGACAAAGGACGAACTGTTCATCAAAACATTGAAATCATAAAAACATTATTTATGTTTTTTTCTTCTTAAAAAAATTGAAATTAATTGGTTTGCGAGTGATGTAAGCCCCTGTGCAGATGAACAGTACCCATATTAATAACAACATTAATAATAGCTACTTGAGTAAACACATACCTAAATTAATCAGACAGGTGCAAATCATGTATGTAAAGATTCCACCATAGTCATTGCAAATCATGAGAAAATAAAATAAGATGATATGTAGAAAGACTAAACAAACCAAAAAAGATATTGAAAGACTAAACAAACCTAATCACTTAAACAATACAAGCTTCGGACCAAGAGATATTCAGGATTTTTTCATGAGATCTCAGTTTCTAGAGGTTTTGCGCAAGAGATTGAATCCCAAAATCAGAGAAATTGCATATACATGCCTCAGAATTAGACAAGAGGGAAAACCCTACAAAAGTAGAGATGTGTAAAGCATAATCTTTTTGTGGACAGGGGAAAGAGAGATAACTAATTAAGATCTGAATGAAGCAAGCCACAAAATGATAAGAAATTATCACAAGACAAGGAGAAAAAACCCTAAAATCAGAGAACTGAGAAATCTTATCTGTTATTGTGGTTGAGAGATTAGATCTCAAGCAAGTCAAAACTGATTGTAGATGTGATAATAGACAAGAGAAATTAAACCCTTACATGGTTCTTGAAGTTTCACACTCAGATTTCTGAGCTGTCTGAAAACCCTAGCTAGCTAGCTCTTCTTTTTGAAATCTTCTCAACCCTAAAACGCTGAAAGTATAAGTGGAGACTGTAACTTATAGAAAAATGGGAAGTAGGTGGATGTTGCAACTAGCGACTAGCTATTATCAATTGGATGGTTCAAAGAAGGGACAACCAAAAAGAGATGACGATTATGATGATGAATGATGAATGATGAATGATGATGATGGTGGTGATGTTGGGTCGTTGTCTTCATGGGAGTCAGGGAAAGCTAACTGTTTCTTCATATCTCACCATATCTTTCATACATTAGAGAGAGAAAGAGAGAGAGAGAGAGAGATGGTGACTTGTGTAATTTTGTGTTGTGTTTCAGGGTTTTTTTTGGGGGGATGATTAGAATTGATTTGTGATGGGAGAGAGCTATCAAGAAGTTCATCAGCCAGCTTTTTTAAGGTTTCTTTTCTTTTGGATCACATTTTATGAGAGGTGGAAGAGCTTGAGAATTTAGATATATAATGTTTTTATCTAATTTAGTCTTTTATTTATATATACTTGTTTCTTATCTTTTTTAAAAAGCTTAGATTAACGAGTGGATGGGAGATGACATAGTAGTAGCTATAAATAATATTATTGGAGACTGAGGATGATTAGGTATAATATAATTGGTCCCGAAAAATAAGTAGTATCATTGTCTTTATGCATTCAAGAATCTCTCAAACTCGTGAACACAAGTATCAATTATTGTGTATAATTCCCTCGAGTGAAAAAAAAGATAAACGAACATAGCAATTTGCAGTTCAATTATTGATTTTTTTTTGGGGAATATAATGAATCAAATGTTTTACATCTTCATTATGGGAGTATATACTTCTTGAATATGAGACTTTAAAATTCAAACAACTTTCTATTTTCCTTAGAACATTATTACACGTTGTGGGCATCGCAAAATGTATTATCAATAGTCATTATTTCTCTTACATTGAAAAAATCAGTTTACATAATATTTACATTGGTAATAGCTAATGGTCGAATCAGTTTACTATCACAAGTTAATTATTACGCCATAACAAACAAAAATGAAAAATAGTGTGTATGGTTTGATACTTTACAAACAAGCTTTTTGCTGGCTACCTTTGATTAAAAAAAAAGAAGAAGCATATCCATCACTTCAGATTAGCTTTTTTCTACACATGTACATAATGTCTAAATCAATTCACTAATGCCCTACATTATAAGAATTAAAGAAAATATAGGCATAAATTTCATATATTTTGATATAAACAATATACACACACACTGAGACACACATATAAACTAGACACATGCATGTAGGTAAAATAAGATACACGAGTGAGTAAATATCATTATCTTCGTTCAACCAAAAGATATATATAAGTGGGTGTGCTATTTAGATTGTCCCAATTGAGATAGAATTATTTCCTAGTCCTTTGGTCACCCCACTCTTGTCGAGTGTAAAAAACCAATTCACAACACAAATAAATAAAAAAATAGAAAATGACAATTTCACCCATTGGCCAACCTGTCATCTGCGAACCGACCAGAACAGTGGTCATGGAGTTTTGAACTTCTTCATCTGTGGCCCCCGTTTGTGTTGTTATGCTTGTTCCTTCGTTCAAGAAAAGACCCGATAACTATTCGACCCGACCCGACCCGAACCGAATCTAGCGCGGGTCGACCCGATCTTTCTTCAATTCGATCACCATTGTCATTGACGTCAAGAACAGTAAAACAAAAATCGCTGTTACGAGCTCAGCAAGCTTTGGCAAATGGGAAGACGTTGGCTTTCTTCAAGGGATTGATCTCCTCCATCCCAATTTGTATTCTTTTACTTTCATTGAATTGCTTGATCGGTGGTTTTGAGTGGAGGTAATTTTGAATCAGGCGCGATTACTCCAAGTTAGCATATTTGTTTTGTATTCGTACGTTCGATCTAAAAGGGTAGTATAAGATGGTGAAAGCATCGGATTTTAAAGTAATTCAGGGGTTTATTCGATTGCATTACTCTCGGGTCAACCCTGTCACCACCATTACCCGCTCAAACCCATCGGCATTACCTTCTCCAGCTATTCCCTCGAATGGTGTTTCTCAGCTTCAGCCTAGATTTAGCTTCCACAGCTTATCCTCGAAACCCACTTATACGAACGTGGGTTTATCTCAGATTCTGTCCTCTCCTAAGCTCAATCCAAAGCTGCAGGCTTTGGGTTTGCCTCGTGTGAATTTGAGTTTTTCATCGGCGTTTAGATTGGCCTCCACTAAGAGCAATGGATTCCGGAAGGTTGATGGGAATTTTGCGAGGAAGGTCGTTGACAAGCCTGTTAAAGCTGTTAGTTCTACTTTTGCTAGATACCGTGAGGCTATAGGGTTGCACATTGATGCGTTTTGGAAAAAGAATAGTCTTTTCGTGTTTGGTGCTGGCGGAGTTTTTGTATGTATTTTCCTTTGGAGGATTATGTTTGGAATTGCTAGTACATTTGTTGGCCTCTCAGAGGGCATGGCCAAGTATGGATTTCTAGCACTCTCCTCAGCCATTGTAGCATTTTCTGTAAGTTTCGGTCTTTCTGTGCTTCTCGCGCATAATTGTGCTTTAATCTTGATGGGTTGCTCCAATTCTTAGTGCTTTTACGGTGATTGAATTTGTTTTGCCAACGTCAGTGCCATGAAGTTGTTGTGATTGAATGAAATTTAGGAAGTTCCCTGTTGGGTTGATTGGTTGATAGTGAATGGATTTGGAGCTTCCAATTATATTGGTTTGATTTCACCACGACTAGAGTATAGGTACATTCTGCTTGTTAACTGATGTTCCTTTAAAGAAGTACAGGTGATTCTGCATGATGTATTTTAGTGACTTATAGAATGATATTGTTTATAGAGTGCAAAAACTGCTATATGATATGGTTTTGTTTCTGTTATACTCACCTTCTTCTCTATCATATATAAATCACTTGATCACAGCTATCTGCATCTTTATAATAATAGGGATTATACCTCCGCTCAAGGTTCACAATTAATCCCGATAAAGTTTATAGAATGACCATGAGGAAGATCAATACGGCAGCTGAAATTCTAGAAGTTATGGGTGCTCCTCTGTCAGGATCAGATTTACGAGCTTATGTGATGTCAGGTGGTGGCATAACATTTAAGAAATTTAAGCCGACAATAAGGAGCAAGCGCTGCTTTCTCCTATTCCCCGTTCAGGGTTCTGAGAGAAAGGGCCTTGTTAGCGTTGAAGTTAAGAAGAAGAAAGGCCAGGTTTCACTTTCTCAACTCCACACTTCCTCGTTAACTCAATAGCTCCGCTGTATCTAGCTTAGGACTGAATGTAGAGCTGTTATGAATTGGCAAGATAGCGGTTAGTGAGGGATCAGTTCATAAGGATCTCTTGGTAGATTTTTTTGGATGTGGAAAATCTAAGGTTAGTTGAACATCCGGTTGCAAGCGGAGAGTGTTTTAATGAATCTCTCTATTTGTGTCAATTGGAAAGAAAAATTGCAAAATTCATAGGTTTTTACGTATCAGATTGTCAAAATGTGTGGTTTAGAAACTGTGATGGTAGCGCTATTAACACTTTGATATGAAATAATAGAATTCTCATTAATGAATCATAAGACTGTACAAGAGTATTTATATGTACATGTATATTAAGAGTAGGAATAAGCTAAAGGAAACCTTATCCTATTCTAAGTATACAATATAAACATTATATGTTAATATACCCCCCTCAAACCGAACGATCTTTAGGAGTATAAAGGTTTGAAATCGACATACGACCAAGTAGATTATGAAAAGGACCCGGCTGTAATGGTTTGGTGAGTATATCCGCCAGTTGATTGCTAGAAGACACATGGAAGAGCTTCAAGAACCCATTCTTGATCTGATCCCTTGTCGTATGACAGTCAATTTCCACATGCTTTGTTCTTTCATGGAAAACTGGGTTTGTGGCAATGTATACAGCTGACTTGTTGTCACAATAAAGCTTGACTGGTGAATCTTGAGTGATATAAAGATCCTTCAGCATCTGATTGAACCATAACAACTCCTTTGTGGTTTGTGCCATACTTCTATACTCAGCTTCTGTACTACTTGAGCTGACCACATCCTGCTTCTTTGATTTCCATGATATCAAAGAAGAACCAAGAAAGATGCACATACCAGAAACTGACCTTCTTGAGTCTTTACATGTGCCCCAGTCAGCATCTGCGAACCCATTCAAACTCAAATCTGAAGTTGCAGAGAAGAATAAGCCTTGACCCGGACTGTTCTTCAGATACTTGAGAATGTTATAAACTGCATGCAAGTGAACATCAGTAGCACATGACATGAATTGACTCAACCTATTCACTGCAAATGTTATGTCAGGCCTAGTGATGCAGAGATACTGTAACCTACCAACCAATTCCCGATAAGGAGTTAGATCAGGTAATAGGGTGCCTGTTTCCTTATTCAATGGTTCTGTTGGATCCATTGGTACAGGTTTCGGTTTACATCCCAACAAACCTGTATCAGCTAACAAGTCCAGGCAATACTTTCTCTGACAAACTGAGATACCAGCTGCACTTCTTGCTATTTCTAAGACAAGGAAAAACTTTGCTGTACCCAAATCTTTTGTTTTGAAAACATTCCCAAGTGTTGTCTTTACAGAGTGAACAGCAGCATCATTGTTGCTCACTATTAGTATATCATCTACATATACTAATAATGCAATGAAGGAAGTACCTCTCAGCTTTGTGAAGAGTGTGTTGTCTGCATAAGATTGAACAAAACCATCATCCAGTAGTGCTTTAGATAAACACTTGTACCACTGTCTTGACGCCTGTTTAAGTCCATATATTGACTTATGTAGTCTGCACACCGGATTTGGAGGAAGATTGCCATCAGCTGAGGTGTATCCAAGAGGTAAACTCATGTAAATCTCTTCGTCAAGATCACTGTGCAGAAAAGCACTAGTGATATCCATTTGCGAGAGACTCCAATTCTTCTTAGCTGCACAACCTAGAATAAGCTTGACACTAGCCAGTTTAGCAACAGGAGAGAATGTCTCAAAGTAATCTACCCCTTCTTGTTGAGTATAACCTTTTGCAACTAGTCTAGCCTTATATCTTTCTATTGTGCCATCAGCATTATACTTAATAGTATAAACCCACTTGCATCCTACTACATTCTTACCAGGTGGCAAAGAAACAATACTAAAAGTCCGATTCGATTCCATAGAATCCAACTCCACATTCATAGCCTTTTGCCACTGAACAGATGCTATAGCTTGGTGAAAAGTTTTTGGTTCTGTTTCTAAGGAAACTGCAAGAATATAACCTTGGTAGGTAGGGTTTATGTTTGAATAAGAAAGGTAAGAGGAAATAGGATAGGGAGTTGTGAAAATTTTTGCTGGTGGTGAAGAATTGGGAGTAGAAATTTGAGTAAGGGAACAATGATAGTCAGAGAGAT